CAAACCTATCTTATGTCTTTAAATTTTCTTCCTCAATGTATTTTGTTTATGGTAATCTACCTTACAGGAAAACTATAATTTGTTTGGATAATGCTTAACACTGAGTGTTTAGGATACTTTTGATTTTTTTTTTTTTCCGCTTTAGGATGTTCATTGTAGAGTTTTTCATTTACCTACTTTCCTGCCAGATTCTGTGGGTTGAGAAGTGAATTTATAACCCTCAACTGTGCTTGCCCACCACTTTTCTTTTCCATCCAAATATTATACCAAGAATAGTGTAGCATGATTAACCAAGAGATGCGTGTGTAATTTATTCAGAAAACTTTAGTGATACCTCTTTCAGGCAGCAGTGTAGCAAAGTGTGTATTAACATGGATCCAGGGTTTATAGCCTAGCTCTTTGACTGAACATGTAATTGTGGGCATGTGACTTTAACTTCCTAAACCTCAGTTCATCTAAAAAGTGAGTATATAAAACAAGCAAACAAAAAACTACCATAGAAGGCTGCTACAAGCATCATATTTGAAGAATGAGATTTTCAGACAATACATACAGAAATCACTCAGTAAATGTTTAGATATTTTAACAATGATGCAAACATGGCTTGCTTGGGTTATAATAGGGTGTTTGTATATCACTGTGATTAAGAGAGAAAATCTTTCACTTTTGAACAAATGAATAAGTAGAGCTCCTGGTGAGCAAGATGGCCTTTCTCATGTTGCCTCCAAGTGATCTTCTGAGTTTGGGGTGAGGCAGTGGTATATATTTTATTGAGGAAGTGGGGGGCAAGCCTGGTTTTCTGATTCCAAGACCAGTGTTCTTTCTTCTACACCATGGTTGCTTCTGGCAAACACCACAGACGAATGGAAAGCATTTCCAAGCAGGAGGTAGGTCCTGTATGGATAGGTTAGTGGTCTTGGATCTTCAAGTAAGATTCCAGGCAGAGCATAATTACTGACTTTGAGTCAACATTTCCTTTATGGGAAATGTTTTATTTTCCAGTTTACTGATAACTACTCATTTCTGAAAGAAAATAAATTCTGGCTATCTATCATAGGATATTGTTTGTGTCCCATGTTCTCACTGACTCCTACTTTCTGGAAGAGATAGAAATTCTTCCCAGGAAGCAGAGAGGATGAACTTCCTTCCTTTCTCATTTCTGCTTTGATCATGAAGTAAGAGATAATATTGGGCAGGATTTTTTTTTTTTTCCCCCTAAACCGGAAAAAGAGAGAAATTATTGAATGGTACATATCATCCTCATCTAACCACTTGCTTTTACTTAAATTTTTTTTTTTTTATTGTTGTGAAAATATAGAAAACAACATTCTCCAATTCAACACTTTTCATGTATACAATTCAGTGAGACCAATTTGCTTTTTAAAGACACAATTGTAATACTCTTTTAAGTCAAAACTTCTTTACCTAGTAGTCATCTTTTTCTTTCAAACATTATGGAATTATCATATGGAAAAATTGAAGTTTCTTGATTACTCTTTTTTAGGGGAATATTTTTCATCAAAATCTAAAATTTTGGATAGTAATTATTTTTGGTACCGTGCAGTTTTTGATTATCTTTGTTTATAACCTGCCTATTTTGGGAAAGCAGTATCACAGAGGTTAAGAAATTGAGTTCTAGAATTAGATTAACATTCAGTTCTGGCTCTTTTTTTAGTTGCTATCCCACCTCTCTAAGCTTTGGTTTCCTCATCTTTGATGGAAATAGTAGTTTCTTTCAACATTGTCTTAAGGAAGAGACATCATTATGTGTGTAAACTCTCACAGCTATTAATTATTATTATTATGAGAATTATTCCTATTAATTTTTAGACAAAACCCATTCTAGATTTTAGTATCTGGATGCAATAAGCATAGTATAAAATCACTTGATTTTTTTTTTTGTACGTGTGTGCTTTCGTAGAAACAAAAGTAGGATAGATCACAATCTAAAAAGAACAGAATGCCAAACTTGCTGAGGTCAGGTTTTCTCAGGACAGCTGGCTCAAAATTATCAAAGAATGGTTCACTAGAGTGATATCTTATATCCCATATGCTAGAGGTTCCCTCTCCTCATGAGGGTAGGGAGGTTTATTTTCATCCTTTTATCATTAGTATCTACTAATGACTGGCCCATGATTTGCATTAGTACAGTTTTGCTGAATTGTGTTTATCTTCACTTGATTTGTGACTAAGTAAGGGGTTTGATGTTAGATGAAGAACAATTCCTGCTGATGCATCATTTTCTTTTTTTTTTTTTTGGTTTAGGCGTTTCTCTTTCAGGCTTCCGAGTAGAAGTTGTGGATGGAGTGATGCTTCATTTGCTGGATGATGTTAGCAGCTGGAAACCGGGAGACCAGATTGTGGTCGCAAGCACAGACTACTCTATGTACCAAGCCGAGGAGTTCACTCTTATCCCCTGTCCTGAGTGTGGCCGTTTTCAGGTCAAAATCAAAGGTATCAGACTCCCATGTGCTTCTCTGGAAATGCACACTCTTTTCTCTGGATTTTATTCTTGGAACACGCCCTACCCTCAGAGCATCATCATCCTCAAAACCTTTGCCATCAACTTAATATTGACGATCTTAGCAGAGAGTTCATTGAACTCTACATTCTAGAGGATATTAGGTAAAAATAGTTGCTGAGCAACTGTTTAGCTGTTAATGATGTTTGGCCATCAACTTAATATTGACGATCTTAGCAGAGAGTTCATTGAACTCTACATTCTAGAGGATATTAGGTAAAAATAGTTGCTGAGCAACTGTTTAGCTGTTAATGATTGTTTCTCTACCTCAGTTTCTTTATTATTTAAAGGCAAAAAAAAAAAAAAAAAAAAGGATGGGACTTGATGGACTAATTGTCCAAGGTCCTTTCCAGCTTCTTACTTATTAATCTTTCACTATCAAATAATAATAAACCAACTATCAGTTAGGTCCACTTTTTAAAGGAGTCTTCTTCATCCAAAAAGTTCTATGGCTTTCGAGTACCTACTTGCTTGGCAAAAACCAAATCTTACTAATACTTAAAATGCAACCAAAAATATATTCCATAAAGCTACATTTCCTATCCTAATGTTGAAAAATATGTTTTTAGGGGAGAGCAGTGCACAGTGAGTTTCTGTGCTGAACACTGGGTTTAGAAATCATTGTTTACTAGGCCGTTACTCTGAGTCTGGCACTAGGCAAAGCCTGTCTGTGTATTACCTCAATTAAGGGATTCACTGTGCATTTCACTCTTTATATTCCTTTTCTTGCTTCTGTACTTGGGGTTATACATTTAGGAGCTAGAACCAAAAGAGTTTACGGTTACTATGCAGTAAGTGTTCACTTGATGGGTAATTTAGAGCATTGAAGTGAAAGGGAAAATTTTCAGCTTCAAAAAAAACAGGACAATTTACTTGACACTTTATCTCTGTGTTTTATTTAGTGTTGTACTTTTCCTTCCCAATAATACTGGGCATAAGAAAAAAAATTATAATACCATCTGGCATTAATTCTTTTTGGAAGTTCCCACTCTTGTTAACAAGTCGACATGATAACGACGAGCCTTCAGGATCTTTGTTCCTTTGATTTATTTGTATTTTTCCTTTCTGAGTTTATAGCATAAGCATAGGAGAAAAGCTCATTAAAATGTTTCTAAACTTCCAATTAAAGGGGGAATTTGAAAGAATGCATAATATATTAAATTAAGAAGAGTTGGGACAGAAAAGATAAGAACTTGTGTATTGCCGATGTCCAAATGCAGATTACTTTAATATTGTAGTAGAAGCAAAAACAACTTGAGGCCCTGCTGTCAACATCTACAAAGCCTTCTATTTGTCTTTCTATATTTACCATGCATTTGAGTCTTCTTATGCCCTCAGGGAAGTAGAATAAGCACACATGGACAGGAGCTAATAGGGTCTGGCTTATTAGGCAGATATCAGATTATTAGTGGTGTCCAAGAAAGGGCTGAGCTCCTTCAGGGAGGCACAAATTCTGTCAGTGCCTGGGTGCCAGCATTGACAGACAATTAGTGAGGATTCACGTGTCAGATGGGCGGCTGGGTAGATACTCTTTAAAATTCCTGCTCCCTAATGTTCTGTGATTCTGAGGTTTTGGAGAATAGCACTAAATCCAAATTCCAAACCCATTGCTGTCAAGTGGAGTCCAACTCATAGTGACCCTATAGGACAAAGTAAAACTGCCTCATAGAGTTTTCAAGACTCTATTCTTCATGGAAGCAGGGTGTAGCATCTTTCTCCTGTAGAGTGGCTGATGGGTTCAAACCACTGACCTTCGGGTTAGCAGCCTAGCATTTTAAGCACCATACTACCAGGGCTTCTTTGAGAATGGTACTAAAAGAAGACAAACTCTTGATTAAGTCTTGAGGGAGTTATATAATGAAGAGGAATGTCTTTAGTAAAGTAAAATATTTCACATTTTCTTTGTTCTAATGTGCTTTATTCAACCAGAAACACCTCAGTTCCTACACATGGGAGAGATTGTAGATGGTGTTGACATGAGAGCCGAGGTTGGAATTCTTACCCGGAATGTTGTAATCCGAGGAGAAATGGAGGACTCCTGTTATGCTGAAAACCAGTGCCAGTTCTTTGATTTTGATACTTTTGGGGGACATGTCATGGTATGTAGAATCCAGTTGTTAAATACATGCTTAAAGAAGCATTCCAGTTTTAGAAAGAGATGTATATAGATATAACAAAGAAATTTTATTTTATTTCTCTATCCAGATGATAATGGGGCGATTTTAGATAATTAAAAGGAAAAGTTGTATCTTACTTTAGTTGACCTGGTCCTCTCTTTAAACAGTTAAGAATGGTAAAGATTTAAGAATCCTAAGATTAAATCAGTGCATTGGGAAGAGCCAGAAGAAAAGGTGGAGATTTCTCGTATTCATGTATGCAGTATCGGAAATAATTATTTGAGGGTATTCATGAATAGGCACATACAAACTATTTTTTCTGTAAAAGTGTTTTCATATGCAGATTTTTGTTTCTATTATTCAACAAATATGGATTGTGCATTTACTATATGGTAAGTGGTGCTGTGTGTACCAACCTGTTAAACTCCAGGGCTGCATGGTGCCTGCATGTGTTTTAAAAGATTTTTTTCTATGTTGAATAGGCATGGTTTTTAGCAACATTTTTTCTTGCACTAATTTCTGAAATGTTGGTCAGTGTTATTCCTTTGCTTCTAGTAGTATGATTGAAAATCCCATAGTAAAAATATTAAACGTGCTTAACCTTGGGATCACAAAGGGAATTAAAAAATACAAGCAAACAAGATTATGTACCAACGGAAACATTGAGGAAGCATTTAGAATAGCTATCAAACTATGGTGGAGGATATAGAAGTGAAATAAAAGGTGGGCATTTGACTACTAACCAGAAGACTGGTGGTTCAAATCCACCAGCCACTCCTCAGAAGGAAGATGGGGCAATCTACTTCCATAGTAATACTGCTTCGGCAACCCAAGGAGGGGTCGCTGTGAGTAGGGTCCAACTCGATGGCACATAACAACAACAACAACAACAGAAATGATCAAACTATTTGAGCAAATCAAAGCACATATACAGAAATAATTGGTGGTTTTCCCAGTTGTATTTCCTTTTATTCCTAGTTGGAGGCTATTTTTATGACTTTTAAAATACTTACTGTATCAAGTGAAATTGTTAAAATATTTGCTAAATTATTATCTGGGGTCCACGAAAACAGCATTCCAAAGAAAGAAATGTTTTTAACACGTATCCTTCTTCAGATGTTCATAAAACATACATATGTATCTAAGTTTTCATTTAAAATATTTTTTGCTACTTCCTTTTCCTGGAAACTATCAGTTTGATCCCTGTTACCATGTTTTATAGATAAAGAAAAATTTTACTTCAGTCCATCTCTCTTACGTGGAATTGAAATACATGGGCCAGCAGCACCTGGGGCGGTATCCTGTGCATTTTCACCTGTGTGGCGATGTGGATTATAAAGGAGGGTACAGACACAGCACGTTTGTGGATGGCCTGTCTATTCATCACAGCTTCTCAAGATGCATCACTGTGCACGGGACTAACGGCTTACTGGTAGGTAGCCTCACAGTGTATTGACTGACACACATCATTGAAATAGGTGACTCTCCTTAATTCTCCTAACTTCTCAATTTTTATATGAAAAAACTGCTTTACCACATGCTTTACTCTCTCCCACTTTTGCTGAGAATTCCACTCTTTTTTAGCCCCTAAAATTATCCTCTTAAGAGATAAATAAATCATGACATTTGACTTTGCTCCATCTGCTAAGATTAAAACTACTTTTTGCGTTTGTATTGAGCATGCTCCACTGAATAGCACTTGTCACGTAAATCACAATCAATCTTGTTACCAAGACATTATATACTTGTGTTTCTGCAGATAAAAGACACCATTGGATTTGACACACTGGGTCATTGTTTCTTTTTGGAAGATGGTATTGAACAAAGAAATACTTTGTTCCACAATCTTGGACTCCTCACCAAGCCTGGCACTCTTCTCCCCACCGACAGGAATAACTCCATGTGTATCACCATACGCGATAAAGTATTTGGGAATTACATCCCTGTGCCTGCCACTGACTGTATGTGAGTACTTGGCAGAGAGAAAAAAGTCCTGTGTGATAGTCAAGGCTTTATATGTTTGGGGAAGACATTGTAGGGGACCTTTATAGTGGGCAGGATTTTTTCATGAATAATATTTAAATCACCTTTAAAAAATGCTTTGCAGGGCGGTTTCAACTTTCTGGATTGCTCATCCCAACAATAATCTGATCAATAATGCAGCTGCTGGCTCACAGGTAAATAAGATTAAAATGTTTTCAGATTTTTTTGTATCATTCATGGTTATAAATAAATGATTTATATGGATGGAATGTAATGATGTCTTCAGTGTTGTGTGCCAGTGCAACTCGAGCATGACATTGTTTTCTGATACTGCTTATTTAGCTGAGAAAAGGATATGGTCGGGATGGTTCTTTTATTTCTTATAAATCATTTGTATGAATTGGTATCTGTGAGTATAGTAAGATAGATATCAAATGGAAGAGAAGGTGTAGATTAATCTCCATGGTTATCATATCATCTCCAAAGTGGAATTTAGGTGTGTTATGTACAGTATTTCAGGCTTCTCATATTTAAGTCATTTGTGGCTGAATAGCTAGGTATTTCATTTTCTGCAGTTGGTGAACAAAGAAAGCTTTAGCTTTTCTTTATGTAAATGGATTATTCAGTAAAACAGTGACAGTTGGTCAAGAGGCATGCACATCCTTTTGTTAAATGCAGGGATCATATCCACTTGGGAATTTCATCTCCTTGGTTCAGCAGCTTCCTTGGTTCAGCAGCTAAGCTCTACTTCTTGTTGTTTGTTGCTATCAAGTTAATTCTGACTCATGGTGACCCATGTATACTGAGGACAACAGCACCATAGAGTTTTCAGTGCTGTGACCTTTTGGAAGCAGATCACCAGCTATGTCTTCCACAGAACCTCTGAGTGGGTTTGAACTGCCAACCTTTCACCTGGTAGTAGAGCACTTAACCTTCTGTGTCACTATGTGCCTTGAATCATTTAAGACTCACTCACATACACAAACACACAAGGATAATTTAAGGGGATAAATGAGCTATTTTGGGATGGCAGTAATATCCCCCAGATAAGCATGGAGAAACCTACTTTTAATATTAATGTGATTTAAAACTGCTAATTAGTAATAGAGGAGCTCTGGTAGCATAGTGGCTAAAGCACTTGACTGCTAACCAGAAGGCTGGCGGTTCAAATCCACCAGCCACTCCCCGGAAGGAAGGTTGGGCAATCCTACTTCCGTAGTGATACTGCCTCGGAAACCCAAGGAGGGGTCGCTATGAGTCGGGGCCGACTCGACGGCACATAACAACAACAACAACAGCAATTAGTAATAGAAAGTCAACTTTGAGATATTACATAACTAAGATTATATCTGTTGAAAACTACAGTTCAGAAAGATCAGCTTTGCAGTGATACCTAAATATCCATTTGTACTTGTGCATCACAACCATTGTTTCCTAGGATGAAGTAGAGGATTAGTCAAAAGGAGTATTTGAGGTGACTAGAATATAGGCATCATTGGTTGGAAGGATGGTTGAACTTACATCTGTGACTTTCCTTAAATACAGTAAAACATCAACTGAAGGTCTCTGCCACTGAAAGATTCTTATTGGACAAGGCAGAGACCTGGACATTTAATCAAGTCGGATTTTCATTCATTCATTGTTCCTCAAACACTGTTGAGCACGTAGGAGGTTCATGCTCAGAGGGTGCACTGGAAGATGAATTTTTTGGTAGAGATGAGCCAAAGGATTGGTAATACTGTCTGTTAAACAGTATCATTTTCTAATCCACAAGTGAGCAGCCAGAGCAGGGGTTTCTTTCAGCTGTTTTCAAAAGTTCTGGGTTGAAGACCAAAGCAAATTGCAAATAGTTCACAGAAAGTGTAAGGCAAGGTTGCAAGTACCCATATTGAGGCTCCTGGTTTACTTGTGAGAAAAAAAGAAAGCAGGTCTCTCTACCTTTCTCATCTTGTTATGTTCTTCTTTTTCATTTTAAGAGCTATTTCTTTCTTTTCTCTCTGTAAAAACCATTCCAGTAAAGTTAATATTTTGACAGGCATTTTTGCTCCCAAAGTAAATCAAACCCTTTCTTCATTGTACCTTTCCACTGCCTTTTACAAAGCTCCCTTGACTTGTTTTGACACAGTAGTGTGTTAACAGGAAACAGCTGCTACTCCCACACTCCCCACCAACCCCTAATCCCCAAACTCCATCCCATTCTGGGAGGATTCTCTCTGCCCTTGGTTTCCAGGGCTGTGGTACTTACCCTTCTTGTCAACCTCCACGTGTTCTTCCATTCTGTTGTCTGTTTTGTACCTTGAAGAGTTGAGATGGCAAACATATTGTTTAGAATAATTTGTTATTAAGATTGATCTGTATACTTTCATAATAGAAAAATGTTAAAATACCACATGCATTTAAACATGTAGGTATATATGCTTTCCACAATTCATTTCTTTTTCATATTTTCAAAGGACTTGATTCATTACAACTATTATAGTACTTATTGTGGTCGTTAGTTACTGTATACTCAATTCCAGCTCATGGAGGAGACCCCATGTGTGCAGAGTACAATTGCTTCATAGGGTTTTCAAGGCTGTGACATTTCAGAAGCAGGTCGCCAGGCCTTTTGAGGTGCCTCTGTGTGTGTTTGAACTGCCAGACTTTTGGCTCATAGTCGAACATTTAACTGTTTGCACTACCATATATGTTGTTGTGTGCTGCAAGTCGATTCCAACTCATAGCAACCCAACAGCATAGAGTAGAACTGCCCCAGACGGTTTCCTAGGCTGTAATCTTTATGGGAAGCCCTGGTGGCATAGTGCTTAAGTGCATGGCTGCTAAGTCAAAGATTGACAGTTTGAAACCACAGCTACTTCATGGGGGGAAATACCTGGTGATCTGCTCATAAAGAATATAGTGTAGGAAACCCCGTGGGGCAGTTCCATTCTTTCGCATGGGGTTGCTATGAGTTGGAATGGACTCAATAACACATAACAATAATAATCTTTATAGGAGCAGACAGCCAGGCCTTTTCTCCTGCAGAGCCACTGATGGGTTTGAACTGCTAACCTTTGGTCAGCAGTCAAGCATTTAATCATTACACCACCAAGGCTCTTTCTTATATGTGTAATGAATAATTTTTATTACATATATTATATTTTAGTATGCTCAAACTCAACTGCCATCAAGGGGAATCTGACTCCTAGCTGTGTCTTTCCCATGAGATTGTGAATTTGTTGAGAATGCCTTACTGTGGATCTGCACATCAGTCAGTACCAGGTGCTGTCAGGTTGTTTCAGACTCATGGTGACTCCTCGTGTGTCAGTAGAACTGTACTCCATAGGCTTTTCAATGGCTAATTTTTTGGAATTGGATCACCAGGCCTTTCTTCTGAGGTGCCTCTGGATAGACTCAAACCTCTAACTTCTTGTTAACCATTTGTATCCCTTAAGGCCTCCAGCTGATACATACCAACCCAAACCAAACTTATTGCCATTGAGTCAATTCTGACTCATAGTGACTCCCATTGGATTTCCGAGGTGGTAAATCTTTACGGAAGTAGATTGCTCCATCTTCCTTCTGTGGAGCTAATGGTGGATTTGAACTGCAAACCTCTTGGTTAGCAGTCAAGTGCCTTAGGCTCTGAGCCACCAAAGCTCCTTCTAATTGATACGTATTGGGCACTAAATAGACGTTTGCCAATTATAAGGCTGTCTTTTTCCACTGTGTACGTAAGTTGTAACCTGTCTAATGAAAGTTGCATAATGTGAAGTTTCCCTTCTCATTGAGCTGAGTTTTAATTAAATTTAAAATAAAAAATTGCCAGGAATTTAGAAAATTTATTTCCATTTTCAACATCTCATTTTGAGTGCCAGAACTTTTTCAACTTTTCTACTGCTCCCATTAAGGTCGGTAACACTGAAAATGAACAGGCAAGATCCAGACTGAGACAGCATCCTGATTCATGCATGTGGTGATTTTTTTCCTTTGGCAAAAATTTGCCTCAGGACAGGAAAGGCATTGGAGTTGTTTGAAAGAAGTCAGTGATCTCTGCATGTCCGTGGAATAGTTGTTTAATAGGCATGACTCATCTCTTGATCAGTTTTGAGGTAAACAGAAAAAACCATTTTACTTAAAGGCTGTGCTATCCTGGTTATATTGAAGGCCTGTTTGTTTCTAACTTCTGCATAACTTTTTCAAGAAACTAATGATGGGAAGTTTATTTTCAAAGTAAATTTTGATACTAGTCAGTTATTTCTCTCTTTTCTCTAATCCTTTAGGAAATTTGCTTTTCATAAAAAATAGAAGAGGGCAGGATATAACTGCTTGGAATATGCCAGATGTATACACAACTTTTTATACAGATTCTTAACCTGAAACAATGAAAAATTAATGTCAAAGAGATTAGACCTGATTGTGAATTCAGCAACAAGTTTGTAAGGATTGTTTCATGGAGTGGATCTATAAATTAAGATTCCTAATGATCTTACCCTTTCAATTATAGGATGCTGGCATATGGTATTTATTCCACAAGGAACCTACTGGAGAATCCAGCGGATTGCAGCTCTTAGCAAAACCAGAACTTACACCACTAGGTGTATTTTATAACAACAGAGTCCATTCAAGTTTTAAGGTAGGCTTCTGCGTTTTAGTAATTGCTGTGTCCCATTTACAGGATAAAGGATGAACTATTATAATGACAACTGAGAAATGTCAGGTTTTGGTAGAACTTACCATGAAGGAAAATAATTTGTGTTTAAGAAAAGCAGACACCTTCTGAATTATGCAGCAATCTGCTTACTACCTCATCTCCTAACTCTACTTTTACCACTTTCCATTATCCATCCCGTTATCCATGGTACAGCTGTAGAGTTTTGTCTAAAAATGCAGTTGGTTATATTGTCTATAGTAAAGACCCCATGGTCCTGACTCTTACAGCTTATCAACACCATACAATCTGACATTTGCTCCTCTTTAGTTTCATTCCTTACTTTTCCTTCCTCCGTCCATTCTTGTTGGGCCATCTAAGATTTTTTTCCTGCTCAGGTGTGCCATTCTCTCTCAACTCCAGGTTTTTGTACAAATGATTTTGTTGAATACTTTTCTCTGGGCTCTTCAGCTGTTTTCATGCCTTGTGTCCTCTACCCATTCCTTAGTGTGGTTAATTCCTCTCTACCCTTTAGGTATCAGCTTTAGGAGGTCACTTCCTTTAGGAGAGATCTTGAATCTTTTTCCCTCAACCACAAAAAAGGTCTCACATAGGTATCTTTCTTACATATTTCCAAAGCATCATGTATTCTTTATCATATGCTTATCATATTGGATTATAATTATTGAATTGTATCTCTTCCTCCTAGTTCAAGTATCAGTAAAAGCAAGAACCATGTTTTTCTTATTAATGTCTAGTACTTGGTGGTTTCCACAATATGGGTACTAAATACGTATCTATTGAGTGGTGGAATAAGTAAAATTAGAACAATATCCAGGAAAGTAGCCATTTTCCCAGTACCTTTGCTTTGCTGTTTATTCCTTTCACTTTTTTTTTTGGTAGAAGCACAAAGCTAAAACTTACTTCCATGAATCATTTTATATGTAGATGTAAATTGAGATTCATGTTCATTTCAGTACATAATTGTATTTTTCAGGCTGGCTTATTTATTGACAAAGGTGTCAAAACAACCCATGCTAATGATGCTGACCCAAGAGAATACCTCTGTTTGGATAACAGTGCAAGGTAAACTTGTCCTTTTAAATCACATTCGAGGCATATCTTGCCAAAGCAAAAGCTGTTCTTTCTGGGGTAATACATTTGAAAGGAAGCTTTGAAAGTTTTTAGGAGGGTTTTAGAAGAATATTCTGCTGTTGTAGGGCCTGTGCCTGGGCTTTTATCTTATTGAAATGCCAAAGAGGACACTGAGCTTTTCTTCTTTTTCAGTTTTAAACTGATATTAGAGAGAGTGGTGGAAAGAGAGAAAAAGAAGAGAGAGCTGTGGAAAAAGAGCCTAAATTTGGCCAAAAATAGAATATGACTCATTGAATAACAAGTCACACTAAGATCATGTTTTAGTCTAATCCCTGAAAGCCAGAGCACATAGAATTAATTCTTAGTGGTCAAAGTGGAACACTGTATTAAATCTGTTTCAGATGAAGGTCCCAAACTTGATGATCAAGCTGGTTCTGTTTCTGTGGTTTGTAGTCTGAGATGCACATCATACCAAGACTCTATGTTACTCTCCTTTATAACCACAAAATGTAGTTGGGAAATAGATCAGCATATCAGCAAAAGTCTCTTACATTCTCTGTGTGAGCCAAAATAAGCAAAATGTCTCAGGTGGAAAATGGGATTTCTGGAAAGCATAACAAACTTTACAATATAGTCAGTATTCACTATACCCATGCCATTTTTCCATATATCAAGTTGATTGACGAGCCTCCAGAGTTCAGAGGGTGCTAGATTTAATAGATTCTACTGATAGTCATTTAAGAAAAGAACACCAGACCCAGCTGTTCATAAAAGGATAAATTAGGAATTACATTGTAGGTCAGTGAGTCTGACTTAAGTGTGAGGCAGGATCCTTGTGACAAAGTATAAGGTCAAGAGAAAACTGGGAAAGTATACTTAATAAAATTGCTCATCAGGATCACTTAAAGGTCAACTTGAGTCTGAAATGTGTTAAAGCAATGATCGGATAACTGTTGAAAAGCTGAAAAATGAGGACATTTAAAAAATAATGAATGAATGGAGGAGTAAATATATTTAAAAACCCATTGATATTTTAATTAGACTTGATAAATTAAGCAATAAAACAATTTACCCATAATAGCTTATGTTTTTTAGTAGGTGCATAAACATGATATTAGGGTAATGTTACACTTTACTCTCCATTCATTCTCTTACTAGTTTACAAATGCATACGTATTGAGAAGGAATCAGATTCCACTTGGAAGTTGTTATTGAGAAGAACTAATTATAAAAGAAGAGTAATAAGGCATTGGAATAGCTGGCTAATATGTTAATTTTATGTAAAGTAATATATATACTGTGCCCACATGTATTCAGGCAATCCACATGTGAGTAAAATGATAAAACTAACATAAATGAGTAATAAACCCAACCATGAATTACACATCAGGCTATATTCAGAAGATACCCAAATGGTTCATCAAAGGGCAAATTAACTCAGTAGTTCATTAGATGAGCCTTCTCTTGTGTCTTCAAGATGTGAAATTACAGAGGAATCCTACAATAGGAACTTAAATTCCCCCAAAAAATCTTGGTTTGAGATTGGAAGATTCCATATAAGAGAGTGAAGTACTATCATTCTCATTTAGCATGCTGCTGTTGTTATGTGCCATCGAGTCGGACCTGACTCATAGTGTCCTTGGGTTTCTGAGGCAGTATCACTATGGAAGTAGATTGCCCAACCTTCCTAAAGCAAAAAGAACTAAGGGAAGGTTGGGCAGTGTGCTGAAATCCCATAGATGATGACAAAACATTGGGAAAATAAACTATTTTCTACACACCAAGAGAAAGAATGGAAATACAGTAAGTTCCTGGGTCATGAGTGTTCAACTTATGGAGAATTTGTCCTTGCCCTTTACTTAAATTTGCTTTAACTTTAAAATGATTGATCACAACAAATCCTTCATCACAGTCACCTTCACTTGATGCATGCATAGCTTTTAAATTGTTGCAGTAAAATAAGTCTAAATAAGAACTGTATGCACCTGTTACAACTACTGACACATTTGGCTTAAAGACACATTTAGGAACTGCTCTCTTTTGTAAACTGGGGACTGTACAACTGCAAAAAGGGCAAGGAGGCCACATATTTTGACCTCTTAGAACCCCACAAGAGTAAGGCAGAATCACCATCAATAGCCCAAGGCCTATTACTGCAAGGCCAGACATGCTACCTCCCTCCAGCCCTTTCACCAACTGTTCCTCCCAAAGCACCCACCACCTCTCTCCTGGGTTTGATAATTCGCTGCAGTGGCCACACAGAACTCACAGATTATGAGGTTTATTAGGGAAGCACCAGGCTACAATTTGAGTTCAGGAAAAATGCTCAGTCTCTCTCCCCAGCCCGCCGTCTCTCACAGTCTCTCCCCCAGCAGTGCATGTCCCTCGGTGTCTTACTCAGCAATGCGTGTCTCTTGCGTCTCTTTCCCAGCAGCATGTGTCTCTTTCAGTAGGGCATGTCTCTTTCAGCAGCACGTCTTCCTCAACCAGCAATCAGAGAGCGTTCTGCAGAGTGGTCAAACCAACCAATCATAACAACAGAGTTCTAAACCTGAGAGTGAGCCTCCCGTAACATTGTGTTGTGCCACACCCAACAGAAATAACCCAGGCAGATAACATTTACAATCAGGAGCTCCTCAGTTGCTCATTCCACCATTGAGTTTACAATGACTTATGGGTAGAAAAGCCACACTAAGTAATTTACTACACTGCAACAACATACCCCAAAACAAACAAGAGAGTTTCAAAAAAGATGAGATGGCTACAGCAGAGAATCACATGCTGCTTTAGTGGCACTTTTTTCTTTTCTTTTTTTTTTTTTTTTTTAAGACTATTGTCTAGTTTCCTTTCTAAAACTCTTGCATCTGTTTAAAATTATGTAATGGCTGCAAAGCTGTTTGGCAGTAACTACAATTCCAGAAGTGGGAGTGATGGCTCAGAGGCAGATTTTGTACCTCTTAGCTCAGAACTAGTGAGGGTAAGAAGAGCTGGGTTGTATGTGTGACTTAAGGATGTCTATAGCACTATGTTGACCACCCCTGCCCCGATCCCTGTCACTACCATCGCCTGAAACAATTCCAGAGCCTTCAAAATGGTCTTTTTAGACAGTCCATTCGCCAAACAGCAGCCAGGGACTGGTTTTGAAAACACAGTGAATCTGCTCACATTACTTCCCTGATTCTATACTTCCAATGAGTTCCGATTGCATTTAGAATAAAGAACCACTTCTTTGCCTGGTGCTTGCCCACTTCTCTGTTCTCTCCCCCTTGCTGCTTACTTGCTCTCCAGTTGGCTTTCTTGTTCCTTGAGCACGCCAAGCTCACTCATGCAGAAGGACCTTCACACTTGCTGTTTTCTGTGCTATATCTTTGCATGACGTCTTATCCCATCAGATACATTTAGTGAGCTCCTACTGTATCCCAGCCACTGTGGTGGTAACATTTTTTCAGACAATATGTCTTGATGATATGATTGAAAATCTCATCCAGATGAATTGGTTTTTAAAAAACTATCCAGTGTTTTTCCCTAACTCTGTAAGATTAAGGCAGAAATTATCTTTATTAAAAGATGACCTTATGGGATTATTTATTTGAGTTTTTATGGTGGACAGTTTTTAACACCAATCCTTTTGACCTTTTCATTATGGTCCTTGTAAGTAAGTGTTTTAGAGGGAAGAGAAGGAAAAGATAAAATGATGGTCTTTATAATGAATAAGTCAGTTAAATATAATCGATTTTAAATTTAAAGCATTTTTCAGATATCACTCCAGTTGTTTGTCTGTATCTTGAACATTTCACTAGGACACACTCAAATAATTTTCCAGTTCACATATATGTGTGTTGAAATATATGATTAATTTATTCAATAAGTTTATGTCACTATCATGTTGCTTAAGAATTTGTGAAAACATGCCAGATTTTCTGTTCTAAGGTTTTTTTTTTTAATGCTGTTAGTGTTTAGAATGTTAGTGTCCATTCTATATTACAGATACATTTTTTTAAAAAAATAACTGAAATGATTATGAAAGCAGTTTTCTGGACATATATAAGTAAATGTAACTTTTTCCTTTGTATTTTCTACTATAAATAATGAAATTGTCCCATAAGAGTTTTTGCTTTTTTGGTTTTGTTTTGATCAAACTTAATCCTGCTTCTTGAGTTTTAAGTTCACAAATGTAAATAGCTAACTTGCATTACCTTTTTATTACTTTTTTTTTGAAAGTCTTTCTTTTTTTCAACCCCAAGGTTTCGGCCTCATCAAGATGCAGACCCTGAAAAGCCACGTGTTGCTGCTCTAATTGACAGACTCATTGCTTTTAAAAATAATGATCATGGAGCATGGGTCAGAGGAGGAGACATTCTTGTTCAGAATTCAGCGTGAGTATCCTCTTCAAGGGAGCTCTGGTAGCATAGTGGCTAAAGCACTTGAATGCTAACCAGAAGGCTGGTGGTTCAAACCCACCAGCCACTCCTTGGAAGGAAGGTTGGGCAATCCTACTTCCGTAGTGATACTGCCTCGGAAACCCAAGCAGGGGTCGCTATGAGTCGGGGCGGGCTCGACGGCACATGACAACAACAACAATCCTCTTCAAGGATCTCTAGTGGTGCAGTGGTTAAGGCGTTTGGTGCTAACCAAAAAGGTCAGTGGTTCAAACCCACCAGCCACTCTGCGGAAGAAAGATGAGATAGTCTGCTTTCATAAAGATTTACAGCCTTGGGGACATGTTGGGACAGTTCTACCCTGCCCTGTAGGGTTGTTACGAGTCAGACTTGACACGATAGAGGTGGGTTTTTGGTTTTATCCTGGTAACACCAATGTACTCATTTTTAAGGATAGTGAAAAAAACAAAGAAACAGTAGAATGAAAGTTCGTTGTTGGATCCTGGATCATATTATCAACAGACATTATGGGCAATAAGGAAGTATGCTAGAGTTAACAGACAGCTCATGTTTGGAGTTGTCTCATTCTGGTGCTTTTATTGGAACTGAATTTGTCTGGTGACAGGAGAGTTTTTTGATGAGATTGAGCAGAAACTGGGAATTTAACTTTCCATAACAAACGTGGACTATGTCAAAGAGCTAAATAAAGATTTTGAAACTACTTGGGTATTTTTCCCTCATTCTTGGAAACTCCTTAAAGTATTTCTGATGCTCTTCCATTGCCATTCAAAACAAAAGTTGTGCAATTCCACCTTAATAAATCTGTTGACTTATGTCTTAGCATGACTGGAGGCAGTAAGCACCTCACTTTTTCCCTATTTATGTAATATTAGCAGAGGTCTGATATATGTTGAGCTAAGAGCTGGTGCTCAAGATTCTGAAAATATTTTATCTGGCACTGACATTTGACATTAAGATTTGATATTTCACCATTATCTCTGACTTGTGTCATCCAAAAAATTGGTATCATGTTTAATCTATAGAAATAGCTTAGGTATAATTTTTGAAGAGAATACCAGGTTTTTTTTAAGTAATAATAATTATAGCTAATGTTTCCATAGGAGCTCTGGTAGCATAGTGCCTAAGGCACTGGACTGCTAACCAGAAGGCTGGTGGTTCAAACCCACCAGCCACTCCTCGGAAGGAAGGTTGGGCATTCCTACTTCCGTAGTGATACTGCCTCGGAAACCCAAGGAGGGGTCGCTATGAGTCGGGCCGACTCGATGGCAAATAACAACAACAACAACAACAATGTTTCCATGGGAGCTCTGGTAGCATAGTACCTAAGGCACTTGACTGCTAATTAGAAGGCTGGTGGTTCATACCCACCAGCCACTCCTCGGAAGGAAGATGAGGTAATCTGCTTCCATAGCGATACTACCTTGGAAAGCCAGGGGTGGGGTTGCTATGAGTAGGGTCGGAGTCGACGGCACATAACAACAACAACGTTTCCATACTGGTTACTATGCGCCAGCCATGGTTTTAAATGCTTTAAATAAATTGGTATGTTCAATGTTCTCAAGAAGCCTATAAAGAAGATTCTATTGTTCTTCTAATTTATAGATGAGGAAACTGAGGCAGAAAGAGGTTTAGGAACTTGCCCACAATCACATAGCTATTGGAATAGCGGGGACTTGAGCCAGGTACCCTACAACAGAGTCTGTGCTCTTAGTAATTGTGTAGTGAAACTTTAAGGTATTTTGCCAGTTAAATATGGAGGGAATCACCTATTTTTATGTGACTTGGTAAAATTTTATATGATCCTCATTCTTTTTTTTCTTACAGATTTGCAGATAATGGAATAGGACTGACCTTTGCCAGGTTTGTAATTGCTTAAAAACTACTTATTTTACACAGGAAAGTTGTATATTTGTTAGCATTTAGAAAAATCAGTATCCTCTTCCTGATGCCACTAGAGGGCCAAAAGAATATTTTTGTTAATTCATACCAAGTAGTAACTTTAATGTAGCTGGAAATTCACAGAGGGATAGACCTGTCATACTTTTTCTTAGAAGAAAATGCTTGGGATTTAGACCAAACATAATAAAAGTAAGGCCAAAAGGAGAGAGGGGTAAAAATTGGGAGCTTCTAAGAAGCTGTTCTACTTCAGCAATGGTCCTTAAAAATTAACATTTTTATGTTATCTGTTTTTTCCCAAATAACTGTAATTTTAAACATATTTGTCATCTAATTCTTGCTTGTTCTCCCCATTTGGAAATTTGTTGCTTGGGACTAAAATAATTAGTGTTGCTCCTAAAATGCAATGAAATTTATTTACATAAAATAGTTATTAACTTATATGAGGTATTTTCACAGTTTAGAAGCAATTTCTAAGGACTTGATTTTATGTATTAGAAAAGCAACTGCCTTCCTTTAACGTATTTAGCTTTATAAGTGATAGCTTACCTTCACAGGAGGGTAAACTTAAATTGCTAAGAGAAATTTGTCTAAGATTGTTCTCATTTTGACAGTGATGGGAGCTTCCCAAGTGATGAAGGTTCCAGCCAGGAGGTGTCTGAGTCTCTTTTTGTCGGCGAGAGCAGAAATTATGGCTTTCAGGGTGGTCAGAACAAGTATGTAGGCACTGGGGGAATAGACCATAAGCCTCGGACTTTACCAAGGAACAGGTAAGCGCTGCTTTAGCAGTGGAATGTTAAGTTTAAACAATAAAGTCATTCTCAAGGAGATTTCTATATTAATCCTGGATGGATTCTTCCCACAGTGACTCTTATCCCACCTTATCTTTGTTATTATTTCTGTTGCTACTATTGTTATTGTGCATATTGTCTTCCCAGAATTCTGGAGCATTAATTATTAACAACTTCCTAGATTTTATTATCAGTTTTATAACAAGGAGCGCCTATCTTGTTTCCCATTCCTTGTGTAAGACCTTATATGAGCTGGTGATTTTCTTTTTCTTTCCTTTCTTTCTTGAGTCGCAGAAAGCTGCCAAACCATAATTATGACATTAGGTCAGTTTTCCCTCAATATCTGAGGTTGGTTTTCAGAAATAGCCACTGGAAAAGGAAATTACCTTCTGAAAAAGAGTCCTAGAAAATGAGAGTTGATTGATGCCAAAGCTGACTCAAAACCTAACCATGGTTGTGCAACTAACTGCACTTTAAATGTTACGGGGGGATGGGGGCAGACTTTTGGTTTGTTGTCTGTCATCAAAACAACAGAATCATTAAAGTAGTACTTAGCACTAGAAAATTCTTCAAAACTTTTAGGGAACTATTAGGTAATTAATCTGTACCTTAATTCTGAGAAAGTCCTCTTCTACTTGTGAGAAAACTAAATGGTATCCTTGAAGGCCTCAAATCAGCACCAGTGGCTTAATTCACCAACTCTCCACCCCTCAAAGGAATATTCTCTCTGGATATTGGACTAGGACCAGTCAGGAAAAGGGGGAAAACATGGATTGTTAGCATTGTGTGGGGGCCCTTTTACTAGCTTCTGGCAAAGAGTCACTGTACTTGGCTCCTCTTCCACTCTGTTCCCAATCTGTCACTGAAATACTGAGTGTTTCTTATAGGCTCCTCTCTATGTAGACAGCCTGTCAGTCAGACCATGGAAGCCACCAGGAAAAAACTTCATGGATTTTTAGTAACTAACTTTATTAAATATATATGAGACACCAGTCCCTGTTTAAATACTCTATACGTATTAATTCACTTAATCCTCATAAACCCAACCTAGCTGCTGTCATCTTCCCTGCTTTACAAATGAGTAACTTGTCCAAGGTCACACAGCTCGTGAGTGACTGAGGTGGTATTCAAACCCAGTTGGGTTGGCTTCGCTGCTGTGCTTTTCATTATTTTGTTGTGGCTGTCATGCCTCATGTCGATTTTAAAGATAAATATGTATTGTGGTATGGGCTGCAGTATGATGGTAGCTGTCTTAGTTATGGAGTGCTGCTATAACATAAATATCACAAGTAGGTGGCTTTAACAAACATTTATTTTCTCATAGTTCAAGAGGCTAGGCTGGATGTCCAAATTCAGTGTCCTGCCTCTGAGGGAAGGGTTTCTCTCTTTCTTGGCTCTGGAAGAAGGTCCTTGTCTCTTTGAGCTTATGCTCCTGTGGCTTGTCATCTCTCTTCCCCCATCTTGGCTTGCTAGTTTGTGTTTACTCTCTTTTATATCTCAAAAGAGGTTGACTCAGGATACACCCTATACTAATACTGTCTCATTAACATAACAAAGACAAACCCATTCCCGAATGCGATTATAACTGGAGACATAGAGATTAGGATTTACAGTACATTTTTTTTGTGGTACACAGTTTAATCCAAAATGGTAGCCAACTCAGTTCCACTCATTTCGTTCTCTTTCAGCCTCCAGTTTTCTTTCACAATGCTTATTTGCTGCTTTGCTGAGGAGAATTTTCTAAAATAAAGATTTCTTATTGGACAAATGGATCCATATCTTTATTGACTTTTTGTACAAGGGAGAACCATTTTGAGATATATCATGATATATAGAATTTTAACCAGGCTTTTGGTTTTCTTGCTAACAAATAAGCTTTTATTGAAAACACTGTTAAGTTGTAAACTAATCAGTTGTGGAAATCCTCTGCAATACTGTTTAAAAAGTAATAGGAGAGAAACCTAACAAATCCAGTATATTATAAGTTTTGTACATTCATTATGGATGATGGGTTATGATTATGGCTAAGATTTTTATGTTTGAACAAAAAGAAAGAAAATGAATTAAATGAATTTCTCTAGCCCCTTAGACTTGGTGAACTTGAAGACTTATGCTTTTATTCTTTGAGGTATATAATTTTTTGCTGTCTTTATATCTTTTGTTCTCATTGCTAGAGATTTTGGGACTAAAACTGAAGTACTTAAGTTACCAAACAAAAAGTCTTAACTGTGTTATTTCAAGAAGCAAAACTATCTCATTGTGTCTTGTAATCATCTTCTCATTGTCTCAAAACAAACAAACAAAAACCAACAACAACAAAAACAGTTGAAATAATCCTATCAGCCAATTTCTCAGCAATCATTTTCTCTGTCTCCAAACCTACCTCAGATCTGCCTCTGTTCTGTGTCCCCACGACTTCCATCTTGGTCCAGGCCACAGTCAGCTCTTACCAGGGCTACCACAGTACCTTCTAATACATCTTGCCACTTATTCCATCCTCCACTACAATCTGTTTTCCTCATGGCAGTCAGAAGAGTCTTTTTGGGGGGAAAAAGGAAAAAAGGCAGATCATGTCACTCATTGCTCCACTAATTTCCCATCTCATATAGAATCATAGACAAATTCCTCACCATGGCCTACGAGGCCCTACATGATTTAGCCCTTGGCCACCTCTCTGTCCACTCATCACATTGCTCCGCCTGAGCTGGCCTTCCTTCAAATCCCCAAGCTTTTTTCTACCCAAGGCCTTTGCACTTTCTGTTCCCCTTGCCTGAAATGCTCTCTGCTCAGGATTTCTCATACCTACCTCCTTCTAACTCTCTATGTCTCAGCAGAGAAGTCACCTGTCCATCCTCCATTCTATCCAAGATACTATCCGTCCTCTTCCCAATTATTGTATTACTGTGTCTTACTGTCTTCACAGCACTTACTAGTATCTCAAATTATCCTTTGATTTTCTGTTTGTCTTTCCTACTACAGTATATGTTTCATTAGAGCAGAGATCTTGTCTTGTCTTGGTTACCAGTGTAGCCACAGAGCCTAGAATTGTGCTTTGTGCATAGGAGATATTTAACAGTTCAATAGTCTTTATAAAATGAAAATAAGTGTATGAAGCCCTGCTAAGGTGACAAGACCATGTGCATTAAATATAGTCTTGTATTTTGACAGGACATTTCCAATTAGAGGATTTCAGATTTATGATGGGCCCATTCATCTTACCAGGAGCACTTTCAAAAAATATGTGCCAACTGCAGACAGGTACAGCAGTGCAATTGGCTTCCTCATGAAGAATTCCTGGCAGATAACCCCCAGGAATAACATCTCCCTTGTGAGGTTTGGCCCACATGTAAGTATGGTCTTATAGTACTCACATAATGTCTGTGGTGGGAAAAGGGGCATAGCACCATCCCAAAGACAAAACACACAAATAAACAAAGGAATCACACTGAGTCTTTATGACTGGGAGGAGAAAGATATGCAAAAGAACTCGTATGTCCATGCCTCTGTCTTGTTGAGTTCAAGGTGAGAACCGAAGTCCTATATGACTTCAGAGTATTTCTGACAGGTGTTACCTTGAGAGGGAAAATACCAACAGTTTTAGAGTTTCACAGGGAGAATAGGACATCTGATTTTGTGAAATTCAGTCTAATTAGCTGGTGGAGTAGCTCATTGCCACTAAGAGATTTGGGTCTCAATATTAGATCCTACCTAGTATTTTACTTACCTGGGGCCTGTTCCTCTGGGGAATGAGAGGATAAAAGGTTAGGAATGAAGAGAAACCTGGAGGCAGTGTGACATAAATTGGGTTATTTCTGATTTAAACTTTAATAGGATTTTATGAAGATTACCAAGAACATATGGAAATTGTTGCCATTGCAGTAGCCTATAGAAGTAGTTTTCTTAGCTTTTGTTCCGTATGCCTTTACCTTTAAAACACAGGACAGTCTGTTACACATCACTTCTCCCTCATCTCACTAGCTCCATGATGAGAGTGGCACAAGAAGGAATGAGTCTCCGAGTGTCTAGCTCCTTTCTCCTTCAGACAGCTGCAACTGGAAAGTGCTTCATACTTGTATTATCCACCTCCACAGGCAAACTTTGTGGTTGCCTAGTTTGAGATAGAACTTGGAATCAGTTTGCCAAAGTTTGTATTTGGTTTTACAGAACATGGTCCAGAGACACAGGTGCAAATAGGGATATCAGCTTGGTTGAGTGGTTTTGTTTCAGGTCATGTTACTCCAGGGAAAGGTTAAGAGAGAGACTAGTACAAGGCTTCCCACACAAATAGGAAAGATCCTGGATCAGCTTCCCACTGTGGAGACTGGTTGTTTGTTTATTGCCCACGTGGAGTTCCGTTGGTGCCCGTGCCTAGATTTTAGTGACCACTGACAGGGTCATATTGAAAAATAGTTAGATATGCATTGTTTTTATATATAAAAACCATGAAGTTATAACAACATAACAGCATCTATACTGTTTGAGTCCAGTGGTATTTCTGTGGTGGTGACATTTTAGAGACAATTTGTGGAGGGAATGGTTCACAAAACTTTTTCTCCTTAAAACCTGAAAATATTACCTGTCTCTCAGATTTAATCATAGACAGTACAAAAAAGTCTAGAACTAAAAACCTAGAGCCGCTTGTCCCAAACTTCACTCTGCCCATTCAGTTGCTTATCAGTTAGATACTCAGTTTAAAAACATTCCAGGATGATGAGTGTTTAAAAGCATTCTTGAGGAGTATAAGCATGGCTTGAATAATGTTAGTAATTTGCTGCTAATAAAAAGAAGTTAAATGTTAACTGCAGCCACTTTGCAGCTTTGTTATGTGTTAAATATTTTGTGAGGTATTATCAAGTTGGTTGTGACTCATAGCGACCCTGTACATGACAGAATGAAACGTTGCCTGTCCTGCACCATTGTCATGGCTGTTGCTGTGTCTGAGCCCGTTGTAACCACTATGTCGGTCCGTGTAACTGAGAGTCTATCTTTGGCTAACCCTCAACTTTACCTAGCATGAAGTTTTCTGTAGTGATCGATCCGTCCTGATGACATATCTAAAGTAACTGAGACAGAGTCTCACCACCTTGTTTCTAAGGAACATTCTTGTGCTTTCTCCAGGGAAGATTTGTTTGTTCTTTTGGCAGTCTATGGTCTATTCAGTATTCTTTACCAATGCTGCAATTTGTATGTGTCAGTTCTTCTGTCTTCCTTGTTCTTTGTCCAGCTTTCACATGCATATAAGGTGACTGAAAATATCATGGCTTGGGTCAGGCCCACCTTAATCATCAAAGTGACATCTTTGTTTTTAACACTTTAAAGAGGTCTTTTGCTGCAGATTTGCCCAATGCAAAAGCTTATGGATAGCAATGTTTTAAACATGAAAGTTCATTCTACAAGTGAGAGGAAATGACAAGAAAATCATTGAGTTGGACTTTGTGTTTAGAAGAGAAATAGTAACATACATCTTTTAGCAGATTCTAGTGACTTCTGGTGGCGTGACTAAGTGCCTAAGGCGTGACTACTAACCAGAAGGCTGGCGGTTCAAACCCACCAGCCACTCCTTGGAAGGAAGGCTGGGCAATCTACTTCCATAGTGATACTGCCTTGGAAACCCAAGGAGGGGCTGCTATGAGTCGGATCTGACTCGACAGCAGTGAGTTTGTTTTTTTTTTTTTCCTTCAGTGAGTTCAACAGTGACCTAACGATACCAAATTTAGACTGTATTTCAGATTTGAACCATACTTATTTTTTGGTAGAGGGGGTCATATGAACAAATAATTAAAGTATTCAGAGTGAAATGACACGATCAACTAGCTTTGAAGATAGAACTTATAATAGATTTATTCTAACAGATATCATTTACATACAGGAAAATACACAGATTTAAGTATATAGAATATGACTTAACAAACATATACATGACTGCTTAGCCCTCTCTGCTGAACTGTTCAGATATCCATTACCACAGATTAATTTGCCTGGAGAACAAGTAATCGTTTTTAAATGGTGTGGGGGGAGGTAAGGGGGAGACAAAGGGTAACATTTGCTACTTGGATTCTGTAAGGCTTTGCAATTTTCTTTTTTCCAGGCATGTCAGTAATTGAATAGGAAATTATGATTGATACCATAGTAGGCAGCTGTGTGCTGTCACTGGGAACTACTTTAACATCAGGGAGTTGTAATGGACACATGTGCTGGATCCTTGCAGGTGTGTTGTCTCAGGTGGCAGAGCCCGCATTTTATGATGTGCTTGCTTTTTACTGTTGTCAGGTCTCTCTGAATGTCTTCTTTGGAAAGCCTGGCCCTTGGTTTGAAGATTGTGAGCTAGATGGCGATAAGAACTCCATATTCCATGACATTGATGGCTCTGTGACAGGATACAAAGATGCTTATGTCGGAAGAATTGACAACTACCTGATCCGCCATCCAAGCTGTGTTAATGTTACCAAATGGAATGCCGTAGTCTGCAGTGGGACCTATGCCCAGGTAGGCTCAGAATGCACTACGATATCTGCTTCCTTATCACGCCTGATAACACTGTGCCTGTGATAAGTACTTCTCAGTTTTTCATTGTGATCAACACTTACCAAAGCATGATTTTTCTTAAAGAAAATAAAATTGACTGGGGGTCATGGGCTTACAGAATTTTACTTAAAACACAATTCTCTTCCATCCCCTAACTTAAACTAACGTAAACAAGTGGAAAAGTGGGTCCCAGAGAAGTGAGTGATTTGCCCTTAGCTAAATAGGGTTGGGATATAGTTGAGGCAAGAACCTATATTTCCTGATTCTCCAGCCAGGGTTTTCTTGCCACATTATAGCTGTGCCCCAAGTATTCTTTGCTTTCAGGGTCATTATCTCTACCAAATTAGGGAGTCTGGCTTTTGAGGCAGAATAGTAATAGATCACTTGGAAAGTGAGATGGACTGTTTTCCAGGTATGAGAGATGACTGGAAAGCAGGCAGGGCTGGGAATTGGAAATGAGAGGGCAGAGAAGGAATCAAAGTAAACTCTTCTGATTATTTTAAGATTGTCTGTGAATGTCTATGAAAATAGGAAGAGGGTGAGAAACACCTTTGTAAACAAAGACTGGTGTGTACTTACTAACTTGATGGTGGCGTAAGAGGATGGACTAATTCCAGAGGGAGTATGTGTGTTTAGGAGTCCCAGGATGGTATAGTCACTTAGTGTATTGAGTGCTAACTAAAAGATGGGAGGTTTAAGTCCAACAGAGACACCTTGGAAGAAAAGCCTGGTCATCTACTTCCATAAAAACCAGCCACTAAAAACTCTACTGGGCAGAATTCTACTCTGACACATGAGTCACCAGGAATTGGCATTGACTCGATGGCAGCAGTTTTTTTAATCTGTGGTTGGGGTATAGGCTGTGGAGCCAGAATGCCTGGGTTTGAATCCTCGCTCTGTTGTTTCCATGTGGCAGTCTGTTTTCATAAAGATGTACAGCCTCGGAAACTCTGTGGAGCAGTTCTACTCTGCCCTAAAGGGTTGCTATGAGTCAAAATGGGTTTCGGTTTTTGATGGCCTGTGTACAGTGAGGATAATAATTGTTCCTCTCTCATGAAGTTGTTATGAAGATAGAGTGAATGAATACATGCCAAGTATTTACCACATGACCAGGCTCATATTGAAGTGCTTGCTGCTATAGTATTAGTTGAAGAGCAGGACTCTAAGTGGCAAAAATGCCTTTAATAGTGATATTTGGATGGATTGAAGAGATTGCAGAATGGAGGTACCAGTTGCCTACACCTTTGGGAGGGAGCAGGATTTTATTTCCATAATTTAGACAGTAAATTGGTAGGCTTTTAATAATGGATTGCTCAGCTGCCAACCTAACAACTGGAGTTTTGAGTCCACCCAGAGTTGTCTCAGAAGGCCCTAGTAATTTACTTGTGAAAAATCAGCCACTGAAAACCCTACTGAAGACGGCTCCCCTCTGAGGAACGTGGGGTCACCATGAGTTGCAATCGCCTCTGCAGCAACTGGTTTCATCCGCCTTTGAATCATGATTGTTAAAGAATGCTGTGATTCTGAAAGTGGAAAAAAAAAATAAACTTTGAAAATGTTTAGATTCTTATCTATAGATAAAACAAAGGGCTTCAACACAGTAAAGACTGGAGAGAGTTTCTGGTTTGTTTTTATGAGATGTTAGCATGTTTGTGGTGGAATTTTTCATTCTCATGAGCAACAAAGATATAATACTTGCCTAATTCCTGGGGCAGGGGGCAGGGGACAAGGAAAGGATGGGGAATTAATTACAGTATAATAAAAAATGAAAGAATAAAATGTGATTTTTTTTTTTGATTCATTATATTTTTAAGCAAAAGGCACCCCAAAATTAAGTTGATTTGTCAGTACCTAGGAATCTATAAAAATTCTAGAATTAAAACAAAAACAAAAAGCTTTTAGTTCTCTTGTAGCTACAGCTTTAGTCAAATTTCTTGCCAGCCCCTTATATTAGTGTATGTTTGTATGTCTGTCTTAAAGTGGTGGATGCTAACTAATAAAAAACTTTGTTTTTTTAAATTACTATAAATGTGCCTATAAAATACATGATTATGAGAACTCCTGATTTTCCTTATAAATTACAGTTGTTACTGTAAATGTGTATATTTTTTCATTTGCTCATTCAACATTTAATCCACAAATTACTCAGTCCTAAGAATGGGAACCTAATCCTTCTATCACAAAGCAGAGTAGTAATTCTGTTTTTATGTGTAGATGAAGAAAGAAATATGTAAGTTGTTTACTACTTTCTAGGAGGCTTTAGAAATGGTGGGGCTACAGATCCGAATTCAGACCTGACCACATGTCAGATACTCTCTGAGAATTTGGAGTTTGAGCTGGGAGTCATTTGTTGTAAGGAGCTTTGGTGGCTCAGTGGCTGAGCTCTCGGCTGCTAACTGAAAGGTTGGTAGTTTGAACCCATGCAGCCACTCCATGAGAGAAAGACACACTGTCACATGGGGTTGCTTTGAGTCAGAATTGACCTGATGGTGCCCAATAACAACAAAAGAAGAGAGATGAGCATCTAGAAAATTATCTTGTGGATGGGTTGTTAAGGGTTAGGCATGTTGTAATGTAAATGTCAATATTCTGCAAGTGTTTTAATTCTTCTGGAGAATTTGGTTACAGGATAACCCACCCACTGCCATTGAGTCGATACTAACTCATAGTGACCCTATAGGACAGAGTAGAACTGCCCTATAGGGTTTCCAAGGCTGTACATCTTTATGGAAACAGACTGCCTCATCTTTCTCCCATGGAGTGGAGCAGCTGCTGGGTTCAAACTGCTGACATTTTGGTAGCAGCCGAATGTGTTAATAACTACTATGCCACCAGAGCTTCTGGTTACAGGATAGTGATTTGTTTTAGGAAAATTGTTTTGAGTTTTGTCTTTGGAGGATGTATTTGGGGAAGGTTTTGTTTTGAAATAACAAGTGGTCCAAATGGCACTGGAATAAATTCAGAACTTTCAAATTTGTCTCACTTGAATGTCCTCCCCCCCCCCAATTTTTTGCAGAGCTTTTTATAATTTTTTTTTTTTTTTTTTTTGGATAGGTTAAAAATGACTTTGGCTGATGTAGGTCATGGAAAATTTAAAGTCAAAGTCGTAGGATATTTAAATTCTCCCTCTCTTAGTTTAGAGGAAAGTCTTTTGGATTTGCTTAGAGGGTATCAGTTTTCACATTAGCTTGCTAATTTTTTTGTATGTGTGTTCTTCAGATTGAGAGATTGCTTTGACAAGCTGTATAAGCCACAGAGGTTTTACATTCTGATGAATAAGCCGGCCCATTGGGTGGAAGAGATGAGGAAGATCTTGGCTAGCAAAATGCATGATCTGTTTTCATCATTTCAGATTGGGCAGGCTGCATGCAAGCGTCTAATAGTGTGAAGTTGGCTGCTGCTCGTTTTGTCTGGCACAGACCACAGAATCCACAGAATCTCTTTGCAAAATAATGACACTTAACTTTGTCCTGGAAATGTTTGTTCAATTAAATCTTCCTTCTCTTTAATTCTTGGTTATTTTTTGAAGGTCTATGTGCAAACATGGGGCACTCAGAATCTTAATATGACCATCACACGAGATGAATATCCATCCCACCCAATGGTGCTCCGGGGCATTAACCAGAAGGCTGCCTTTTCACAGTACCAACCTGTAATCATGCTGGAGAAAGGCTATACCATCCACTGGAATGGACCAGCACCACGGACTGCTTTTCTGTACCTTGTAAACTTCAACAAGTATGCCTATCTTATCTTGTTTCCAGAAGGCACACAAGTAGTAATTTGGTGGAGAAAAGTAGTGACTTTAATTAGCTTTGTTATTGTTAGTTGCCACTGTGTTGATTCCAGCTCGTGGCCAACCATGTGTGCAGAGTAGAACTGCTCCATAGGATTTTTAAGACTGTGACCTTTTGGAAGCAGATAGCCAGACCTGGCTTCTGAGATGCCTCTGGGTGGATTCAAACTGCCAGCCTTTTGGCTAGTAGCTCAGTGCTTAACCATTTGTGCCACCCAGGGAAACTTTTAATTAGCTACCCACTGCCATCAAGTCAATTGTGACTCATAGCGACCCCCATTGGGTTTCAAAGGCTATAAGTCTTTACTGAAGTGGATTGCCTCATCTTCCTCTCATGGAGCGGCTGGTGGTTTTGATCGGCTGACCTTCTGGTTAGTATACACACGCTTTACCCACTATACCACCAGAGCTCCTTTTTAATTAGCAAGTAGTGACTAAAGAATGGTAAATTCATGTACTTTGCTTACTTATAGGAAGATGTGCATTTCCTATTGATGGAATTAAAAGATTATACAAGTAGAGTCCTGTCTTTTCAAAAGCAGTTTTTCATGGGAAAGCTTATACAGAAATGAGCGTTGCATGTAGAAAGCCATTTCATGATGAATTTTAATACAGTGTACAGAATGTTTTCATTTCTTACAGCTCAGATGGAAAGAAAGTTTCATCAGGTATTTCAACTGATCATTTGGTTACCTGCAAAATTGAAAGATTTTGAGGCCAAGTCTGTGTTTCACAGAAGAGAGTGTGTGATTGATTAATAATGTCTGCTGTGGACATGCAGTAGAAGAGCTGGAGCATGAATGGCACATATGTAAAGATGAATGAGAAAAATACTTGTCCTACAAGAGCTTGTAGTATAGAGGTAGAAAAACATTGCAAGTAAATAGATAAACACACCAATTTTTAATGGACAAAAGATAGAGCAACTAATTCTGACTGATGGAGTTGGGCCAGGCTTGCACTGAAGAAGTGTTTCTGATCAACTGATGAATCAGTCTTATTACAAAGGAGTTTTCTGGGAGGTTCAGATGGTTAAGCATCCAGCTGCTAACTGAAAGTTGGCAGTTCAGATCCACCCATTGGTACCTCAAAAGAAAGTCCTCACTGTCTGCTTTCAAAAGGTCTCAGCCATTGAAAACCTTATGGAGCATTGTTCTACTCTGACACACATGGGTTAGACATGAGTTGGAATCGACTTGATGGCAACTGGTTTGGGCCAGTTCTACTCAGGGAATGATGGGAGAATAGGGCACATCAGGAGAAATGACAGGAGATAAAACAGAAAGGAGGGGTGGGCTTTGTCAAAAGGCTGGGTAAACCAGTCTTGATGTGTGTAATCCATGGCATTCATGCAAGTGCTCAGTTATATAGGTAGAAACTGACAACTTGTTCTCCTGACTGTACATAAAAACTGAGGTGGCTTGTACAGCTAGTGGGTTTTAAAGCTCTGATTTGTCCGAACTCTCTTCTACCAACCAATTCAAATGAACAGAAATGGACATGGAACCTGTGAGAATTCAGCCACTAAGGTCTCTTCCCAGGAGAGATGAACACTGTGGTGGATACCCCTTGTTCTGAGATATTTAGGCCTCTGACACACTCTCTAAACTAAACTATTACTAATTTCCTATACCAGAGGCTGTTGCTTTTCTAGACCCTTTCTGTAAAATAGCAATTCCCTTTTCCCCATCACCCAAGCTAAAATTCCCAGGACTCATCTCTCCATTCCATTAGTAACCAAGCCTTATTGATTTGATCTCCTTAATGCCATTCAAATCTCTTCATTTCTTTCCACCCCCATTGCTCATGATTGAGTTCAGGCCACCATCATCTTTTACCTGGATACCTGAACAGCCTCCTACTTGATCTCCTCATCTCTAATCCTTAGTTCTGTTGTGTCCAGAGGCCAATCCGATAATGTCATTTCTATATATGAACCATGGAGAAGTCAGTGAAAGAAACAATGATTGTCAGAGAGAAAGGAGTGTTGTCAAAGAATGATCAACAAGCCAACAAGTTAGATCGAGCAGGATAATCAATTTGATATGAGATAGTACAATCAAATAGTATACAGAGTTCCACACATAACTGTTGAGGAAATATTGGGCAAGGGGAAACCTTTTAAAGTAGAAAAAAGCTGAGCCTAGAAATTATAAAAATCTACTTGGGCTTTAAATTCAGTAATAGTTTCCTTATATAGTTAATTAACTAAAATTTTGTAGAAATTACATGGTGAGCAGAGGCAAGAGGAAGAAGAGGAGATGGGCATTGTTTTACGAGATGGGCATTGTTTTACTCAATTCATTATAATTATGGGAGGTCACAGATTTTGTCATAGTGCATTTTCTGAAAATAAACTTTAATAGTTATAAAAGTTAGATATATGCATTATACAAAATAAGAAAAATAAAGAAAGTTGAAGTAATCTCCAGTCCTTCTAGTTGAAGTGTGGTATTGTAAACATTTTGGGGTCTTTCCCTTCTTCCTTACCCTGAAGTGTTCTCACTCAGCATATGGATATACCATGATATATTTAAGTACCTTCTTCCCCTCACCCCATGGACATTTAGATTCTTTTCTTACTGGGCCCCTCTCTTGCTATTACAGATGATACTGCATAGAACATCTTTTTTGTATACATCTTTAGTCTGCATTTCTTATTATGTTTTAGTGAGATTATTGAGTTAGATCTCTGTGAACAATTTTAAGGCTTAGTTACATATTGCTTACAAATTCTTTAGAGTTTTACCAGATACCATTCCACTGTTAGGCCATTAGTGTTTCCATCTTAATGCCCCCATACTCAGCCATTTCACCTATCTTTATTATCTATTTGCAGTGTCTAAGTACATGTTATCCAACTTCTATTCACATGTTCTCAAGTCCTACTGAAACCAAGGATTTTTTGTAGGACATATAAATGTTACCAAAATATCAGTAAGAGAAATTTGAGTAACAGATAAAGGTAGATGATCCTACAGTGTGTCAGGGTTCGGGATTAAACACAGCAGGAATTTAAGGAGAACATTGTAGCTAAAATTTGCCTGTGCTGTAATACTCAAAAGATACTGGCTCAGAGCCTTTGTTGAAAACAGTTGGGGAGTTCTTTAAAAGCTAAACACAGAATTACCATATGATATAGCAATTCCACTCCTAGACATACATCCCAAAGAACTGAAAGGAAGGACTCAAACAGATACTTGTATACTAATGGTCATTGCAGCATTATTCACAGCATCCAAAAGGTTTTCTGTAACTCAAGTGTCTGTTGACAGATGAATGGATAAACAAAAAGTTATATATCCTTATAATGGAACATTATTCAACCATAAGGAGAAATTAAGTTCTGATATATGCTACATGGATGAACCTTAGAAATATTATGTTCAGTGAAATAAGTCAGACCCAAAAGAACAAATATTGTTTGAACCCACTTATTTGAAATGTCTAGAGGAAAAATGCAGAGACATAAAAGTTTATTACTGGTTATGAGAACCGAGGGAAGAAGGAAATCTAGAGTTATTGTTTATGGGGTTCTGAGTTTCACTTTAGGGTGATGAGAAACATTTGAAAATGGATGGTGGTGATGGTTGTACAACAGGATGAGTATTATTAATGTCATTGAATTGTATACTTAAAAATGGTTAAGACAGCAAATGTTTTTTCTGTGTATGTGTGTATTTTACCATATTAAAATTTTTAAAAAAATATACCATCTCAAGTATGAATTAAATATTTATTGTCTCTCCTTCATAGGAATGACTGGATTCGAGTTGGCCTCTGCTATCCATCCAACACAAGTTTTCAGGTTACCTTTGGATTTTTTCAGCGGCAGAATGGCTCATTATCCAAAATGGAAGACTATGAACCTGTACGTTCACTTGAAGAACTGCAGAGGAAACAGTCTGAGAGGAAATTCTATTTTGATTCCAGCACTGGGTAATTCAGTAGAGCCAAGATTGAGAATTATTGCTATTTTTCTTTAATGGTGAAATTACTAGTTCTTCAGAGTAGCTAAGAATAGGCCATGATGTGATGGGTGCTTAGGAAAGCAGCTGGTGTGGGGTAATTCTGTGCACATCACTATTAGAGGCTTAGAGAAGAACGAGAATGACTTATAATTATAGTTGTCAGTAGGAATCCATGAAAATGTTTGCCGTATACCTATTAAGGCAATTTAGAGAGAGAAATTATCCTTGTCAGTAAAAATCCAATAGGCCAAATTGGGAATTAAAATAATCTTTTTCCATAACAACTCTTAAGATTATTTACATATGCTATCAAGGAGCTCTGGTGGTGTAGTGCCTAAGGCACTTGACTGCTAGCTAGAAGGCTGGCAGTTCAAACCCACCAGCCACTCCTCAGAAGGAAGGTTGAGCAATCTACTTCCATAGTGATATTGCCTCAGAAACCCAAGGAGGGGTTGCTACAAGTTGGGTCCGACTAAGTGGCAAATAACAACAACAATAGTTCATACCGCAGTAAAACTCATTTTTCTCTTCCTACTGACCTTAAGGCTCTCTCAAGTTGACCTTTCAAAATCACTGTATAACCTTGGCCTATTAGCTTCCAACTTTCTCTGGGTTGCATCTTTCCACTTTTTAATTCTAATCCTGTTCTCCTCGGGTGCTGTTGGCTTTGTCTGCTTTTTTCTAGTTACAGTCTCCCAGCCTTTGGGTTATGGTAGGCTTGATCTCCTATACCCTCCCAGCAGATAGCAAAATCCTTCCATAGCCATTCCTTTAGCTGACATTCCTACTGTGTGCCATTGTCTAGGTACTAGATGGATGCTAACGTGAATAAGACACATTTCTTAAGTCCTGTGAATTCACAGTCCATTGAAGGATGGAAGCAAGTAATTAGAGAGCAATGAGTTTAAATGCTATAAGTGCTATAGTGGGATATTCAGGGTGGTTTTGGGTAACCTACTCAGCCCGAGGTACCCAGTGTCAGCCCAGGAAAGTGACACTGGAGCTAACTCTTGAGGAGTAAATAGGAGGAGACGGAAGAAAAGATGAGTGAGGCGAGGTCTTCCAGGCAGGGGAACAATGTGCAAATGCATGGAGGCATGGAAGAACATGGCATGGCATGTTTGGGGAAGGCGAAAAGTTCCAAGTGGGGAGAGGGTTGCAGGATTGATTAGGGGAAATGGAGTTGGAGTTCAGTCATTATGTGCTGTATTAGCCTTTGAATAACATACAACTTGTTCATTGTCCAGTGGCGCTCCAGCAGCCATGGCTGTGAGCTTAAATCTTTCCGTCTCACAGTGTTCAGATTCTAATTAGATTTAAACAATTTACCTGGACTTGGATTTTACAGAATTTCCACATTTCCACAGAAATAAATGAAACACTCAAATTTGTAAGGACAGTCCAAATTACATTTAATCATATTAATGATTAAATGTATTTCTTAAAAAGTGAGAAATATTTCCTAGTCTGGGTATTTCAAGAGTCCCTCAGCCTCTGAGGTGCTAATTCTTTTTAATCCTATTCATCTTGACTCTTTTAATTATTTACCAATTATTACATAATTGATTAATCAAGGTCTTGCTTTCTGGAAGTGTATTTGTTAAAATTACTGGATGTCAGGACAATGGCTGATTTTTACCTCCTATTACAACTTTGCATTGTACATTGACCTCATATTAAGATATGAATTCCTGATCTCTGGTAATCAATCCCACTTGATCTAGTTCTTTAGAATCTTGCCATCCTTTTGGTTTCGAAGGACTGAGTTCACTGACAGACATTGGACTGCTGCCTGAAAGTTAGACTTTTTCTTTCATCTTGGCAGTAGGAAGATAATCCAGAGTGGGTGGGAACTGCTTTTGGCCCCAGTACAGATGGAAGGACCCCAAGCCCATCTGCTCTTGGTAAACATCACAGGAACTGATTTGAGACCATATCTTAGCCTTAGCCAAACAAGTCAGAATTGCTCCTTTTATTATTCCAGCTTTGTGCCTTAAACCAAAATGATTTATGAACCCCCAAAAAAAGAATAAACCACATTAATTTACTGAATCCTAAACTCAACACTAGTATCAAGTTTTCCGAGGAATTTTTGAACCAAGCCAAATTCCATCCTCCCAAATTACCTTTTGAACTAATTCAAACCAGAAATCAACTTTGATATCTTCCAGAACAACTGAATCAGGATATCCAAAATTTTCTAATGTTTATTGCATTTGACTGAGGATGCTAGTAGTAGAAAAAAGAAAGATAAACAATATATTTTTCAATATATTTTATTCTTTCTTTTAAAGAAAAATCACCTTATGGGAGGGAATATCATTTTGACAATGAGTCTTACTTGAGGAAGTTTCTAAGTTTTTGAGACTAAGTCTAACACCACATGGGTTTGTTTTTGTTTGTGCAGATTGCTGTTTTTATATCTCAAAGCCAAAGGTCATAGGGATGGCCACAGTTACTGTTCATCTCAGGGATGTGAAAGAGTCAAGATCCAGGCAACAACAGACTCAAAGGACATCAGTAACTGCATGGCCAAAGCTTATCCACAGTATTACCGAAAGCCATCAGCAGTTAAGCGGATGCCAGCCATGCTGTCTGGACCGTGTCTAGGCTGTGGCACCAGCCAGGTAAATGAGAAGTGGGATTGCACTGGGAGAAAAGTCAGAAGGTTTCTTTGCAATATAAATAGATGTTCTTGGAAACATCTCTGTTGCCAATTTATACATGTTGGATGACTTATTCTGAATATTGGCTCTTTCTGCAATGTGATGTTCGTCAGAAGCAAACTAGTCTAAATAAATAAGAAAATAATTTCCCCCTGTGAGTCCCTTGGTGGTACAAACAGTTAATACACTCAGCTGCTAACCAAAAGGTTGGAGGTTTGAGACCACTCAGAGTACCTTGGGAAAAGGCTTGGCAATCTACATTCAAAAAATCAGCCATTGAAAGCCCTATAGAAAACAATTCTATTCTGACACCCATAGGGTCACCATGAGTTGGAGTCAACTGGTGATACGTCACTTTACCCTGGATAAATGTGAACTCTGCGTGCTTTGAAGTTAGAAGGTGCTACATTGGTCACCATCTTTTCTTTCTCAGATAATGTGATTCCATTATCATACTGTGTTTTGGTTTACATGTCAGTGATACAATGTTCTGGTTACCTAGTGCTACTCTGACGAGAATATACCACAAATGGAATGGCCTTAACAATCAGAAGTTTATTCTCTTATAGTTTGGAGGAGGCTTTAAGTTGAAGTTCAAAGTGTCAGGCTCTAGGGGCTAGGTGAAAGCTCCTCAACCTTGAGTTCCAGCTCTGCCTCCTGCTTCCAGGCCACTGGAGCTAGAGGCGTTTCTTCACTCAGACAGCTGTTGCCTATTGAGGCTGAGATGCCCCAAGGTTGATAAGTAAAAAGGCACAGTCCCAATGTTATCAAACCACATGGCAGGCCATGAATTTAAGTCCATTTGTAAGTCCCCAGGTCAGCAGAACATGGCAGACTGCTGAACAACAACATGGCTACATGCAGGGTCCGAGCGTGCCATAAGCTAGAGACTATCCCAAGGCTTCTCCTTATATACAGGAAACAGACCACATCCCAAAGGCAGCAACTCAGCTGCTTGTGGTGGATCCCACCATGGAGTTGATTGCCAGTCCCATCATGGGGAATAACTACCACCAGCTGCCCAGCCACTCAACCAGGCCCAGCCAAGTTGACATACAAATTTAACTACCACATATAAACAATACTTCCTTTGTTTTACTTGTATAAACTTTCTCGTCAGAAAATGCAGCTCTTGTGAAAATTGGTAGAAGGCTGCTCTTAATTTTGAAGCTAGTGCTATTACATTTATCTATAATTAAAAGTACAGATTGACTTTGGCTAGAAGTGAAAATGCTTCTCCCAACTTACCATTCAAGGAGCTCTGGTGGGTCAGTGGTTAAAGCATTCAGCTACTAACCAAAAGGTTGGTGGTTTGAATCCAGTAGCCACTCTGTGGGAAAAAGATGAAACAGTCTGCTTCTATAAAGATTTACAGCTTTGGAAACCCCATATGGGGCATTTCTACCCTGACCTATAGGATTGCTTTGGGTTGGAATTGATGGCAGGGGGTGAGAACCTAACATTCTTAATGAGAGAGTCTTCTTCGAGATCTTGAAAAAGCGTAGGAATGAAAGTAAATCCAAAATAGGAGCTAAAAATCAAACATAAGGGTGGAGTTCCAAAGGAAGCTAATATTGCCCTAATTTGTGTTTAATCTTTACACAAACAAATATGGGCTTAGGAAAGTGATTCTTGGGCTACTCCTGGGCCATCCCAGACCTCCTGAATCAGAAGCTCTGGACATAGAGCCCAGCATTCCCCCAGTGGATTCAGATACACCCTAAGCTAGGGGTTTTTCTTTTTTTAAGCCAAGAATTGCCACAAAATGCATACTCCTATTGATAATGGATAAAAGGAGCTCTGGAAGCATAGTGACTAAGGCATCTGACTGCTAACCAGAAGGTTGGTGGTTCAAACCCACCAGCCACTTGGTGGAAGCAAGACTGGGCAATCTATTTCCATAAAGATTTACTGCCTCAGAAACCCAGTGGGGGTTGCTATGAATTTATGTTTTCCATTAGGGTATATAATAAGTATTTTTTAAATGGCAACTTCACTATCATGGTACATATTGGTCTTTCATAGTTCTGAGCCACCTCTACTCTTCAGTACAACTAAAGCCAAAAGCAAAAAGTGTACATGTGAATGTTAGATGGGTTGTTTCTGTCCCGTGCAATGTTTAGACTGTTAAAGTGATGTTTTGAGATAGTCTTTGTGGGGAAGTAACCTCTTCAGACTAATTTTTAGATTGATTGTGTCAAGAAAGTCCTTTATTACTAAAGAGATGTTATGCCATTTATAATAATATAATGTATAATAAAATTTTAGGAGCTCTGGTAGCATAGTGCCTAAGGCACTTGACTGCTAACTAGAGGACTGGCGGTTGAAACCCACCAGCCACTCCTTGGAAGGAAGATGGGGCAATCTACTTCTGTAGTGATACTGCCTCGGAAACCCAAGGAGGGGTCACTATGAGTTGAGTCTGACTCGACGGCACAAAACAACAAACAACAACATAATAAAATTTTAATATATAAAATAATCACCACTGGAAATATTCTAGGCCTATGTTATTAAATTATTCTAGGCACTAATGCTTAGCATTCTTGATCCTTTATAACTGAAACATCAATCATACTTTGTTCTAAAATAATTATTGATAATTTATTTTGAGCAATTATAAAATATTATTACTTTTATTTGGAAGTTTTAGGGTTGTTATTATTATTATTATTTTAATATCAAGAGCAAACTCATATATATTACTCAAACTCACTGCTGTTGAGTCAGATCCAACTCATAGCGGCCCCTCCTTTGGGCATCCTCGGATACCTTCCGAGGCAGTATCACTACGAAAGTAGATCTCCCAATCTTCCTTCCAAGGAGTAGCTGGTAGGTTTGAACCGCCAGCCTTCTGGGTAACAGTCAAATGCCTTAGGCACTATGCTATCAGAGCTCCTCATATATATTATGAGTAAGTAACAAAAGTCACGTGAATTTTTGTCCCCAAGCCTTCAACTTCAACAAATATCTGTGTACTTTGTGAATGCTTGGTATCATGATTATTTACTCTTGCACATGAAGTTGTTAATATTGACTTCTTGTGGCTATATTCCTTTAAGTGCTAACTTGTATGAGAGTAAAAGTGCTTTTAAGGGAGAGATAGCCTTCAGGGAGGAGGTAGAAGGTAGATTTTGGACAGTGGGAGTATTTGCCAGAGCAGGATAAAGGGAAGGGCATTCTAGGTAAGGGAGTTCTAAAGGGACAGGAAGGCCACATCTTCTGACCTCCTCTAACCGCACAAGAGGAAGTCAGAATCACCATCAGTAGCCGCCTATTCCTGCGAGGCCAGACATGCTGCCTTCCTCCAGCCCTTTCACCAACCCTGACACCAACCGTTCCCCCTGCAGCACTCAACACCTTTCTGCTGGGTTCGATAATTCACTGCAGTGGCCACACAGAATTACAGATTACGGGGTTTATTAGGGAAGCACCAGGTTACAATTTAAGTTCAGGAAAAATGCTCAGTCTCTCTCCCAGCAATGCGTGTCCCTCATTGTCCCTCTCAGCAATGTGTATCTCTTGTGTTTGTTTCCCATCACCACATATCTCTCAGGAGCACGTGTCTCTCAGGAGTGCATTTCTCTCAGGAGCATGTTCCTCCTCAGCCAGCAGTCAGAGAGAGTTCTGCCTCATGGAGGCCTCCTTTTGAGCCTGGCAGAGCGGCCAATCATAACATCAGAATTCTAAGCACCTGAGAGAGAATGAACTTCCCAGAACATTGCTTTGTGCCACACCCAACAGAGATACCCCAGGTGGATAACTTTTACAATCAGGAGCTCCTCAGTTGCTCACAGCAAATTCCACCATGGAGTTTACAAAGACTTTAGGCTAGAAAAGCCATACCAGGTAATTTACTATACACTGCAGGGAGCAACATCAGGAAAGGCAGAGTGACAGGAAAGCAGATGAAGGAAGTGCTTCTGAGAAAGTGAAAATGTGGTTGAACAGTAGGAAATCAGGACCCACAAAGCATGGCTCAAAAGCTCTGGTGGCATAGTGCCTAAGGCATTTGACTGCTAACCAGAAGGCTAGCGGTTCAAACCCACCACCCACTCCTTGGAAGGAATATTGGGCAATCTGCTTCTGTAGTGATACTGCCTCGGAAACCCAAGGAGGGGTCGCTGTGAGTCAGATCCAACCCAATGGCAGTGCGTTTGGTTTTTGGTTTTTGTAGTTTAAGTAGAAGTGTTTAGATATGGTGATAGAAAAAGACACTAACATTTTTTTAAATGGGGTAGTGTTCATTATCTACACTTCTTCAGTGCTACAGAGACTGAGCCCTAATTTAGGAAATTTGGTCTGAACAGAGCCTTTTAAGATTTGTAAATTTTTTAAAATGTATTTTGTAATTTTATCTTCATAATATTTTTTAATCCTCATATTTTTTGCTTATTTATTGTGGTAAAAATATACACAAGACTTCTGCCAATTCAATTTCTACCTGTATAATTTGCTGATAATGATTGCAGTCTTTATGTTTATAGCCATTATTACTGCCCTTTTCCAAATTATTCTACCATCATTAACATAAACTCAGTATCCCCTCTTATGGATTGGATTGTGTCCCTCCAAAATATGTGCTAGTCCTAACCTCTCTACCTATGATTAAGGAGCTCTGGTGGCCCAGTGGTAAAAGTATTCAGCTGCTAACCAAAAGTTTGGTGGTTTGAACCCACCAGACACTCCACAGGGGAAAGATGAGTCAGAATCAACTCTGTGGTAGTGTGTTTTAGGGTTATTCCTGTGGTTATAATTGCATTTGTGACTGGGTTGTCTTTCTTATGTTAATGAGAAAACATTAATGTAGGGTGCATCTTGAGTCAATCTCTTTTGAGATATAAAAGAGTTTAAATGAGCAACCGCATGAGTGGAGATTGGGGAAGAGAGATGCCAAGTCACATGAAGAGTGCCTAGGAGCAGAAGCTGAGAAGAGACAAGTACCTTCCTCCAGAGCTAACAGAGAGAGAATCCCTTCTCCTAGAGCCAGCACCCTGAATTCAAGCATTTAGCTTCTTAAACAGTGAGAAAATACGTTACTGTTTGTTAAAGTCACCCACTTGTGGTATTTCTTTTATAGCAGCACTATATAGCTAAGAATTTGGTACTGGAAGAGTGGGGTGCTGCTCTAACCAAAAAACCGATGGTCATCGAGTAAGTTCTGACTTGTAATGACTCTATTGGACAGAGTAGAACTGCTCCACACATTTTCCAAGACAGTAAATCTTTACAGAAGCAGGCTGCCTCATCTTTTTCCCACTGAGAGGCTTGTGGGTCTGAACTACCAACCTTTTGTTCAGCAGCCAAATGCCTTAACCACTGGGCCACCAGAGCTCTAATAGATAACAAAGAATATTGAATCTACCATGGACTGCCAGAAGAATGAACAAATCTGTCTTGGAAGAAGCACAGCCAGAATGCTCCTTAGAAGTAAGGATGGCGAGACTTTGTCTCTTATACTTTGGGCAAGAGGTACCAGTCCCTGGAGAAGGACATCATGCTTAGTAAAGGAGAGGATCAGTGAAAAAGAGGAAGACCTTCAATGAGATGGATTGACACAGTGGCTGCAACAATGGGCTCACACATAATGATTGCTAGAATGGCACAGGACCAGTCAGTATTCTGTTCTGTTGTACACAGGGCCACTGTCAGAACCAATTCAGTGGCACCTAACAACAACAAAAGTCAAAGCCTAGATTGCCTTGAAGAGACTGTGGATGGGTTTATAGACATCAAAAGCAATTCTGGTGAGGGCTTGGAAGTGAAGAGAGCTATGGAGAAAGTCTCTATCATCCTAGAGAATACATGTGGCACCAGCAACAGAATGATGCTAGAAATGTGGACATTAAATGTGATTCTGATGAGGCTTTTTAAAAAAAAAAATGATGAACATCTCATTGCACAATGGAGGAAGGCAAAGAACTTGTCTGAATTATTGTCAAATGTAAAACTTGTAAGTGATGAACTTGGATATCTGGCTGAGATTTCTAAGTAAGATCTTAAAGGGGCCACGTGGTTTCTTCTTGCTGCTTATAGGGAAAAGTGAGAGAAAAGAGATGGACTTAAAAATGAATTGTGCAAAATGTAAACAGAACTTAAATATTTGGAAACTTCTTTTGTACAAACTAAAGACACATGTCCTGGAATGCTCACCAAGGACCTGGCTACACATTCTTTTCTTTTCTTTTTTTTTTTTAAGAGATTAAGTCTGTGACTTACTAACTAGGACAGCAGAAAACCCATCAGCTTAGATTGAAGGGGACAGAATGAAAGAAAGAATGCTGTCTGCCTCTTGGAATTCTACAGAGAGGATGCAGGCCAAAGGAGCTACATCTGTTGTCCTCTAAGAAAAAAAGAAGGATCATCCCTGGAGTAGCATTGTTGGAAGGGACTGGGGAAGCAAGGTCTTGTCAATTTCAAGGAGTAGAACCACAATCTTCTGGATCTCAGAGGGTGGGGCCACAACCTACTAGGTTTCAAAGACTCAGGTCTTCACCAACTTGATTCTGGAGTCTGCCATTAAGATGTGCCAAGGGAAGTGGTACCTTGGGGAGGAAATTGGAGGGGAGCTGTTGCATTGTGGTAAACTGTGGTCAATGACATGAGACAAAGTATATGTGAACTGCTGTATCAAGAGTGGATTTGCTCTGTAAATCTTCACCCAAATATAAATAAAATAAAATTAAAAAAAAAAAAAACAAACTCCTTAAGTATTATCAGTGGAAGAAATGAGGAAAAATAAAACTGTAACTGCATAAAAAAAAAAAAGATGTGCCAAGGGGATGAGGCTGCTGCCAAAAGCTGATGGGAAAAGCTGCCATGACCAAGGGGTAGAAGAGTGGGGTCCGCTGGGGCTGATGGCCTGGGGTTACAACTCAGTTGGACTAGGAGAATGAGGCCACCTAAAGTCGAGGAGGTTGAGTTTTTATCCCAGTGGGCCTGGAAGGCAGAGCTGAAGTCCAGGGCTGTGGGGCCTCCACCCAGAATCCAGAGGTCGTGGCTAACACCCAGAGTCTGGAAGTTAGGGCTGCCGCCCAGATGGTCTCAGAGAAAGGATTATTTTCAAGCCGTGAGAGCTAATGTAATTTGTCCTGCTGGATTTTGAACTTGCCTGGTGCCTATTGTCCCTTCTTTCACTCCAATTTCTCTCATTTGTAATGGAAATATCCACCTTGTGCCCATTCCACCTTTGTACTTTGGAAAGAGATCATTTGCAGTTTAGATTTCACAGGTTCACAAATAAAGAGAGATTTTGTCCCAGGGTGGAATATGCCTAAAGTCTCACCCATAAATGGTTTAGATGATTCAGAAGATGAAATTTTGGGTTTGGAGTTGATTTAAGATTTTTGGGTTGATGTGATGGACTGTATGTGGGAAGAGCATGAATTTTAGGGGCAAAAGAGTAGAATGTGATGGATTGAATTGTGTTCCTCAAAAATATGTATTGTAAATCTTTTATGCCTGTGGTTATAAACCCATTTGGGAATGGGTTATCTTTGTTATGTTAAGAGACATGATTACTGTGTGTCTTGAGTCAGCCATTCTTGAAATACAAAAGAGATTAAACAAGTGAGTTAGTGAATGGAAGTGGGAGAAGAGCCATGCCCAATCATGTGAAGATCACCCAGGAGGAGAAGCTCAAAGAGACCTTCCTCTAGAGTCACCCCAGAAAGAAAGCCTTCCTCTAGAGCCTGAATTCCGACATCTTGCCTCCTAAACAGCGAGAAAATGAGTTTATTTTTGTTAAAGCCATACATTTACAGTGTTTCTATTACAACAGCAGTAGATAACTAAGACATTCCTGTCTTAGGCTGGGTTTTCTAGAGAAGGAAAACTAATGAAGCTCATATACATGTAGAGAGAGAGAAAGAAAAAGAGAGAAATTTATTTCAAGGAAATGGTTCTTGCAGTAGAAGCTGGCAAGTCCCAAGTCCATGGATCAAACGTCAAGCTGGAGGTTTCTCCTGACTCACACAGCTTCAGGGGCTAACAGACTCAAGACTGCTAGGCAGCATAGGAGGCTGCTAGCTGCTGAGGCTGCAAAGGCAGTGATCCTAAGATTGCAGGGAACACAGCAAGCCACTGGTTCAAGTCTAGGAACTTGAGATGATGACAGGCCAAATGCAGGATTCAGAATGAGTAAAAAAAGTCAGAGAGCTTTCTCAAAACTTTTCCATGTATACTGGAAGGAGGCCACACCCAGAAGGCAATGCCCCTTCAGCAATTTGCTGCTCACAGCAAATTCTACCATGGAGGTGATTAAACCACATCCGGTCTCATCATGGGCAGTAACTACATCACAACTGCCAAGCCTCTCAAAATCATGGCCCAGTCTAGTTGACATACAACAACCCCTAAACAAAAACTCCCCTTTTCCCTCTTCTTCCCACTAATAATCTTTGGTTTCAATATATTTGAATATTTCATATAAGTGAGATCAGAGATTTGTGAATGTTTTTGTACGAAATGTTTACAAATATTTAAATATAAAGCACATGTGAGTAGTCATTTACTAAATTTATGTTGTTAACAAGATGATAATTATTTGAAATTGGGATTGTTTGGGAAAATCAGGATCATACAGTTAGTGTAGTAAGCCTACATCAAAAGATGGTACTCCAGGCCATGAAAGATGTCTACCATGTTTAGAAAAAAGAAAAGCCCACAATGGCTTTGATGTAGTTGAGTTTATTTGGAGGGCACATTCTGGAGAAAGATGTGGTTAACATAAATGTGGAACTTCTGTACTGTCTAGGTCGTGTTTACTAGTGATCCTCATAAAAGCTACCTCCCCGTGCAATTTCAGTCACCAAGTGAAGCTGATGTTCAGCGTGGAGATCCAACCATTATTTCTGTGAGTAGCACCTGAATTATATGCTTATTTTGGGCTTTTGTTTTTAAGAAACATGCATTATCTCTGGAGTAGTCACTTGTTTGTAAACACGTCCGATTACTGCTAGGCAATATATTGGGAGTTCTAGTGGTATAGGAGCTCTGGTAGTGTCGTGCCTAAGGCATTTGACTGCTAACCTTAAGGCTGGTGGTTCAAACTCACCAGCTACTCCTCGGAAGGAAGGTTGGGCAATCTACTTCTGTAGTGATACTGCCTCAGAAACCCAAGGAGGGGTTGCTGTGAGTTGGAACTGACTCAACGGCAGTGGTGTGTTTTTTTTGTTTGTTTGTTTGTTTGTTTGTTTTGGCTGCATAGTGGGCATCTAGGTCTCTAGAGATTCAGACCACCATGATTTCTCACTGTTACTGTCTCTACTACTTTCCACATATATTATGAGAATCTTGCCTAGGATATGACATTACTTTAGTTTTTATGGAAAGTTTTGTGTTTCTTTTAAGCAACAGGTTAATTTGTGTGTGTTGAAGGTTTATATGTTTTTTTTTTTCCTTAAATGTGCCTCAATTTTTGTTTTAAGATTTTTGAAAATAAGGAATCACTTTCAGCCCTTCCAAATATAAAATGGCACCTTACCTCAGCAATTTCAGGATTATTCACTGGATTAAAACAATTTAAAAATAGGTGCAAAAGCCATTTTGAATTTCTGTGAGATCAGTATTCAAAACCCAACCCAACCCATTGCTATTGACTCTGTTCCACATGAAGGAAGGTGTAATGGCAAAAGCATTTATCCTTTGCTTGCCTTTAGCATAGTTTATATTGTTCATATTTTAGATAGAAACACAGCCTATGGGTTTAATTCCTTATTGAATCATTTTTCAGTCTAGTCAGTTTTGCTTTTCATTTTCCTGTGGGGTTTTTTTTTTTTTTTTTTGATGGAGCAATTAATGATATTTAGAAATTCCTAGAGTTCACAAAGGATCTCTAGTGGTGTAGTGGTTAAGGAATTTCACTACTAACCAAAAAGGTTGATGGTTTGAACCCGCCAGCTGCTCTGCAAAAGAAAGATGAGGCAGTCTTCTTCTGTAAAGATTTATAGCCTTGGGAACCCAATGGGGATCACTCTGAGTCAGAATTGACTAGATGGCAGGGAGTTTGGTTTTCTTTTTAAAGACTTCACAAATCAATAATTTAAAGATGACAGCTGTGGAAATTCTAGCTCACACTTGTTGTGAAACAAAATATAATGATGCCTTCTGGCTTAAATACCAGTAAAATTACCACTTTTCCATTTTGATTTCAGAGAAGAGCTATATATGAAGTGAGTGAAAGAGATAAGGCAATCTGGGTCCTATGATGTTGTTGTTGTTGTTGTTATGTACCATTGAGTCGGACCCGACTCATAGTGACCCCTCCTTGGGTTTCCGAGGCAGTATCACTACGGAAGTAGATTGCCCCATCTTCCTTCTGAGGAGTGGCTGGTGGGTTTGAACCGCCAGCCTTCTGGTTAGTAGTCAAGTGCCTTAGGCACTATGCTACCAGACCTCCCTAAACTCTAATGGAGGAGGGGGCAAGACACAATAAATACTGTCTGAACCAAGTGACAGTAAATGAGCTCTCTGAGCTGCAGTGTAGAGGTTTTACCTGTTCTGGGCGCTGCAGCCACCTGATCTCCAAGTTACAAATCTTTGACCTTGTAAGAATAAATGAATGGCTCATACAGTACTGTGTTGTCAGTGAAGGCAAACATTGATATACGGGTGGATAGATGGGTGGATAGGCTGAACTATTAGGTATGTCCATGCAGGGGGTAGTGTGCCCAAGACTATGTATAGGGTTGGCAGACAGTGTTTCTCTAAGTGTATTTGTATGTTCTATAAGAATTCCCGGGTACATAGTAGAGCTAACAAAAGGGGCAAATCACTTCTTGGCTAAAGCCATCTACCCAGAGGGAATGAATAGTTGGATTGTGGGCTCAGGACCATAGTCGCAGGTGACATCAAGCTCAATTGGCATAATATACTACACAAAAACATCGTTCCACATCCTACTTTGGTGAGTAGCAAATGGGATCTTAAAAGCTTGCAAGCGGCCATCTAGATGCAACAATGGGTCTCTCCTCATCGAGAGCAAAGAAGAATGAAGAAAACCCAAGACACATGGAAACAATTAGTCCAAGCTACTGGTACGTCACGCAGTCCTCAGCCTATATGATTATGAGAACAGAAGAAGTAGATGGTACCTGGCTACCACTGTCAACCACTTGGAGGGGAATCTCTGTAGGAGATGCTGGATAAAGTGGGAGAACAATGTGAAACAAAACTCAAAATCTTTATTAAAAAAAAGGGACCAGGTTTGCTGGTCTGATAGAGTCTGATGGACCCACTGAGACTATGGCCCGTAGTTGCCCTTTAGGTCTGGAATTGAACCTGCTCCTGTGGCTTCCAGCCAAAGACAGGCATATGAGCTGAACATTTACAATAGGTAGACACACTCCTTGGAGAGGTCAGTCATGGGAGAATAAAAAGGCTGTGTATGCTTGGGGGTGGGAGTGCATGGGAGGGAAGGACACAGGGAAGAGGTAATTATGGGGAGGAAGTGGGAGGGGAGCTATTACATTGTGGGAAATTGTAGTCAGTGTCATGAGACAAAGTATATGTTAGCTGCTGTATGGAATTGAATTTGCTCTGTAAATTTTCGCCCAAATTACAATAAAAATTGAAAAAAAAAAAAAAAAGAATGAATGAGTGGCTTGAGCACTGTGGAAAGAGTCATTGAACCTAGCTGAGTGGAGGTTGCAACCCCTTGCTCAGAGCATCTTAACCACAAGTATGATTTCCAAATGTCTGCAGGAAAATAGTGAGTAAAATATAGAAACTGAATTCTGGAAATATATTTTGAATTACAGGGTTTAGAAGACAGAGGGAAGGGACTGGAAAGATAAGTCATGCTGGGAATGTTACTGAAATGGTGATTCCCTCAGAGGACATTTCTGCTTTTTCAGGTCAATGGCACAGACTTCCCCTTCCGAAGTACAGGTGTCCTCCTCCTCATTGTGGATGCCTGCAGTGTTCCATTCCAGCTGACGGAAAAAAAGATTTTTTCTCTTGCTGATGTCAGTTGCATGGAAGGGTATTTAAAAACAGGGATCCCTCCAAGGTATGTGAAGCTTGCTCCATAGCAGTGACAAACTACCTTTAAGGTGCAGAGTCCTTCAAAAAGATAATGTGTGGTTAACTCTGAGCTTGTTGGCTACCCACACTTTTCTTTCATATTCTGTGAACATTTAGAGCTCTGTGAAAGGTATTCATTCCTTTCTTCAGGTCATATTGATGCCAGTGTAGTTTGAGTTGCTAATCATGCATTAAAAAATAACAAACGAAAATAGCTGCCATCAAGTTGGAATCAACTCATGGCAACCCCATGTGGATCAGAGCAGAACTGTGCTCTATAGGGTTTTCAATAGTTGCTTTTTCAGAAGTATATGGCCAGGACTTTCTTCCAAAGTACCTATGGGTGGACTTGACCGCCACCATTTTGGTTAGTAGTCGAGCTCATTGACTGTGTGCATTACCCAGGGACTCCATGATCATGGGTACACCACTGCTTATCAGTGGCAAGAACTCAGATGTGAGGTAATTGCAAATGGCAGAAGGTCCTTAGATGGCAAAAAATTAGATATTTGAGAACATCACAATCCCATCTTTTAAAATTGATACCTTGAAACCAACTTATTCAGAAGGCTCATGGCCATTTTGAAATAATTTACAAATAATTTTACCTTTGCAAGGAGTTTTGGTGGTGTGGTGGGTAAGGTATTTGACTACTAACCACAAGATCAGGAGTTCAAAACCACCAGCTGCTGTGTGGGAGGAAGATGAGGCAATCTACTTCTGTAAAGATTTACACCCTTTAGAAATCCAATGGGGGTCACAGTGAGTTGGAATCGACTCAGTGTCAGTGGATTTTGGTTTTTTACCTTTGCAGCTTAATGTCACACTGGTGGACCCTAGCACAGCATTGTACTATGACTGTGGTTGTTGTTGTTGTTGTTGTTATGTGCCGTCGAGTCGGCCCCGACTCATAGCGACCCCTCCTTGGGTTTCCGAGGCAGTATCACTACGGAAGTAGGATTGCCCAACCTTCCTTCCGAGGAGAGATGAAGTCATTAACTGGGTCACTTGGAAGTGACTGGAAAAGAGTAAATTAATTTTTAAGTAAAATGAGTGACTGGTCTCTCTTTTAAGAGCTCTTATCTGATGAGTTTTTCTTTGTTGGTCTCTGAAGAAGGGTGCGTAGGAGAGAAACCTTTCTGTTTCAGTGTTGGTCAAACTCTGCTTTGGAGGTAAGGGGATGAATTCAGGCTCTTTCCTGCCTCTTGACTTTGCTGAAGATTATGATTTACACATGGACTTTCCTTTGGTGAAGACACTGAGGGAAGAATATCAACCTCCCCGGGAGGAAAGGCCCTTTTAGCTTTTGAGTCATCTTTAGCTGGTCTGATCCCTTACATTCTTTACAGATTATAGGATCAGATTCCAGTGAGTCCCATGAAGCCACTGGGACTATAAAAACAAACCAAACTCACTGCTGTTGAGTGGGTTCCAACTCACAGTGACCCCTCCTTAGGTTCCTGAGGCAGTATCTCTACAGAAGTAGATTGCACAGTCTTCCTTTCAAGGAGTGGTTGGTGGGTTTGAACTGCAAGCCTCTGGTTAGCAGTCAAATGCCTTAGGTACTCTGTCACTGTATTTGGGTGTAATATTCAATTTACATGTATAGTGCTCTCTTCTACCTTAACACACTTGTAGGGAACTCCTGTTTATTCCATCTGGTGAGGTCCACGTGTGTAGTTGCTATTTATGTTATAGAAAAAAAGTGTTTCCAATGAATAAGTCATTGGTCTTACATAAATCTATCATTTGATCTCCCACATTGGTTTTGTCACTAAGGCCATATTTTCCAATTACTTATCCTTCTTTGTTTCCAACTCATTCATTCCAATCACCAGGAATTATCAATGAATGTTGATTGCATGTTTGATCCATTTCAGACTGCAGACATTGGTAACAATCCTCAATTTCTACATCTTTGATGTTAATGATTGGTACATTAATTTTAATAATAATTGTATTAACTGGTCAGAACAAGGCCAGAGGGCCAACTGCAGAACAGACCATCAATTGCTCACGTACAAGTTCAAATTAAAGCTGAAGAAAATGAAAACAAGTCCATGAGAGCCAACATACAACCTTGAGTATATCTCGCCTGAATTTAGAGAACATCTCAAGAATAGATCTGGTGCATTGAAGAGTAATGACCAAATACCAGACAAGTTGTGTGATGACATCAAGGACATCATATTAATGAAGAGTTCAGTGAAAAGGTAGATGAGGGAAAAAAATACCAAAATGGCTGTCAGAAGTGACTCTGAAACTTGCTCTTAAACATAGAATGGCTGAAACAAATGGAAGAAATGATGAAGTAAAAGAGCTGAAGAGAACATATGAAAGGGTTGTTTGAGAAGGTGAAGTATTATAATGAAATGTGCGAAGACCTGGAATCGGAAAAACAAAAGGGAGTAACACACTCAGCATTTCCCAAGCTAAAAGAACTGAAGTAAAAAGTCAAGCCTCTAGTTGCAATATTGAAAGATTCTATGAGGAAAAAATTGAATGATGCAGGAAGAATCAGAAAAGATGGAAGGAATACACAGTTATTGTACCAAAAAGGATAGGTCAATGTTCAACCATTTCAGGAAATAGCATGTGAGCAAGAACCAATGGTATTGAAGGAAGAAGTCCAAGCTGCACTGAAGGAATTGGTGAAAAACAATTGAAGGAATACCATTTGAGATGTTTCAACAAATGATGCAGTGCAGTACTGGAAGCACTCACTGGTCTCTGCCAAGAGATTTGAAAAACAGCTATCTGGCCAACTGACAGGAAGAGACCCATATTCATGGCCATTCCAAAGAAAGGTGATCCAATTAATGGAGAAATTATTGATCAGTATCTTTAATATTACCTGCAAGTAAAATTATGCTAAAGATCACTTTAAAATGGTTGCAGTAGTGCATTAACAGAAATTCAAGCCAGACTCAGAGGAAGACGTGGAATGAGGGCTATCATTGCTTGTGCCAGATAGATCTGGGCTGGAAGCAAAGAATACTAGAAAGATGTTTACCTGTGTTTTATTGACTGTCCAAAAGCATTTGACTGTGTGGATCATAACAAATTACAGATAACATTGGATTCAATGGGAATTCCAGGACACTTGTGCTCATTTGGAACCTGTACACGGACCAAGAGGCAATTGTTCCGACAGAACAAGGGGATACTGCATGGTTTAAGATCATGTGTGTCAGGGTTGTACACTTTCACCATACTTACTCAATCTGTATGTTGAGCAAATACTCTAAGAAGCTGGATTATATGAAGAAGAATGCAGCATCAGGATTGGAGGAAGATAACAACCTGTGATATGCAGATGAAACTCTTGCTGAAAGTGAAGAGGACTTGAAACACTTACTGATGAAGATCAGAGACTACAGCCTTCAGTGTGAATTATACCTCAACATAAAGAAAACAAAAGGCCTCACAACTGGACCAATAAGTAACATCACCTAATCGAGAAAAGATTGAAATTGTCCAGGATTTCATTTTACTTGGATCCAGTCAACAACTGTGGAAGCAGCTGTCAAGAAATCAAACGACATATTGCATTTGGAATATCTGCTGCAAATGTCGTGTTTAAAATGTTAAAAAGCATAGCTATCACTCTGAAGACTAAGGTGCCCCTGACCCAAGCAATGCTATTTTCAATTGTGAAATTGAAAAGCTGGACAATGAATAAAGAAGGCTGAAGAAGAATTTTGATGCATTTGAATTATGGTGTTGGTGAAGAATATTGAATATACCATTGGACTGCCAAAAGAATGAACAAATCTGTCTTGGAAGAAGCATAGCCAGAATGCTCCTTAAAACCAGAAATGGCAAAACTTGTCTCATTTCCTTTGGATGTGTTAACAGGAGGGACCAGTTCCTGGAGAAGGACATCATGCTTGGTAAAGTAGAGGCTCAGAAAAAAAGAGAAAGACCCTCAATGAGATGGACTGACACAGTGGCTGTAACAATGGGCTCAAACATAGCAACAATTGTGAGGATGGTGCAAGACCAGGCAGTGTTTCATTCTGTTGTACATGGGTCACTAGGAGTTGCAACTGACTTGCCAGCACCTAAGAACATACTGACAAAAGGGAATTCCTTTCAGAAGCCTCAGTTACCTTCAGAAACTTAACATTTTTTCTTAATGCTGAAAATACAACATTCTCACTTCCCCTAAAGCAATCAAGGGCACAAATGTCACCACATATATTTAAGACAAGACAGTAGTTCTGAAAGTGCCCCAATAGATTTAAGTTAAATTCAACTAACTGAAAATCACCAAGTAGTTTCTAGAAATGGGACAGTAAGAGGACTTTTGAGATATTGGTAATGTTCTGGGGTTTATTTAGTTAGTTGTTGTTTTGAAATGTGGGTGCTTTTTACACAAGTGTGGTGAGTTTGCAAAATTTTAATGGACAATTTGCACAATTGGTGGGGATGCTGTGACCTCTAAGGGATCTCATGAGACTGGGTTGAGTAACTGACCCACTGGAAAAAGTGAGGGCTGTCGGATGGCCAAGGTCAGACTTGTGCTCTGTCTCTGGATTAAGTCACCACTGCTATAGAAAGACCACAATTCAGAACCCACACCACCACAAAACTGAAGGTTTGATTAAATAAGAAGTGCCAAGGCCCTCAATAAGAAAATAAATGCTTTACTCAGGGATGTAAAACAAGAGCTGAATAAACGGATGGAAAACACAATATTATAAAGATGTCATTCTACCAAAATTAAAATATAAATATACCACATTTCCATTAGTGTCCCCATTTTTTTTTTTTTGGTTTCATAGCCTCTAACCAAAAAAAGAAACCAAACTAACTGCCGTCGAGTCGGATCCGACTCATAGCGACCTCTCCTTGGTTTTCTGAAGAGGTATCACTACGGAAGTAGATTGCCTAATCTTTCTTTGGAGGAGTGGCTGGTGGGTTTGAACAGCCAGCCTTCTGGTTAGCAACCAGAGCTCCTAGGTGGTGCAAATAAGGAGCTCTCGTGGCTCAGTGCCTAAGGCATTTGGCTGTTAATCAGAAGATCATCTGTTCAAACCCACCAGCTTCTCTGTGGGAGATAGATGAGGCAATCTACTTCTGCAAAGATTTACAGCCTTGGAAACCCAACAGAGGTTGCTGTGAATTGGAATGAACTCAGTGGCAGTGAGTTTGGTTTTTGGTTTTTTTGGGGATGGTGCTGGCTACTAACTGAAGAGGTTCAAACCTACTCGGAGGAAAGACCTGGTGACCTGCTTCTGAAAGGTTACAGCCTTGAAAACCCTACAGAACTTAAATCTAAGGCACAGCACGTGGGGTCACCATGAGTGGAAATCGACTTGATGGCAACTGGTTTGGTCTTTTATGGTTTTGTACTCATTTCAGAACAGTACTCAATAAATACATCCTGAATTACTGAATTTTCCTCTGATATTTTAAACTTTCAATTATAGGTCAATTGTTCTATTGAGCACAAGAGGAGAAATAAAGCAGTTGAATATTTCTGATTCATTAGTACCTCTGGGATTAGCCAAACCGGCTCATCTTTATAACAAAGGTTTGTATTTGTAGTATTTTATGTAATCCTTATGAAACCACCAACATAGGCATTTTTATGTTGAGATTTAGCCAACAGACTGTTCTATGATCTTGTTTTGCTGGAATGGGTATCATTAAGATAATTTTAAAATAAGTGGACAGTGTTAGAGGAAGTGTGTTGGGATGTGGTTTATTATTTGGGGTAAGAAGTAGGTGGGAAGAGTTCATTTGTTGATGTAAGAAGTGTAGTTTTTTGTTTTTTTTTTTTTTTAAATAGCTGTCTTTTGTTCACCTCCAGTTCACCTCCCATATTATCTCTCCTGGAACTAGTAGCTTTACAAATTGAACTTTTTTTTTTTTTTTTTTCAGGGAGTACTGTGTTTTTGGGATTCAGTGGAAAGTTTAAGCCTCCCTGGACTAAGCTATTTACCAGTCCTCCTGGACAGGACCTCGGGCTGCTTGAACAGTTCATACCTTTGCAGTTGAGTGAATATGGCTGTCACAGCATCACCACTGTCCGCAGACAAGACCTGGAACTGTTAAAACAAGCTTCAAAAGCACATTAGAAACTAACTGTAACTTAAGTGCTGGGGGGAAAAAAATGTGAACTAACTTATTTAATTTATGGCATGTAAAAATGACACTGTTAACCCAATGGATCCATTTTCCTGTTTGATAGAGAAGGGGAAGGGAAGAAAAAACAAAAGTTTAAAGTGATTGCTTGAATACCAGCTCACGCACCTTGTAGTTATACAAAATGTTCAAAGAATTTATTTGTATTTGTAAGGCTGGTGTCTGGAGAGTGGTCTCTCATTCCTCTGCTTCCACCCCAGTGTGGTGTAGTGACCCTAAGCAATGTTTTACTTTTTGTATCATGAGATGTTGTTGGGTGGGGTGGAGGCTTCTGAGAGTCCGCCTGAGCTCTTTAGAGAACCAGCTATTGTAGCACCTTTGATACTTGAAGCCTAATGCTCAGTTGTGTCATGCAGTGATTGACTTGGTGGCTGGTATGTTCTGTGATGCCTTGACCCTGTTTCTGGGCAGCTTTTTATGGATTTTATATGATACTGAATGACAGAGTTTTAAGTGGCAACTCAGGCCCAGCTCATGCCCTTTTTTTGCCTGGACATGTGCTATTTTTACTCATTTGTATATTAATGACTTCTAAGTGTTCAACTTTCAAACAGCAAAGTACATTGGGACAAAAGGGCTTTTAGGAATTAGAAATCCTTTTAACCTATGACTATTGGGCAAAGGTTGACCTGCACCCAGGTTTCAGGTTGTTGGGCCATTTTGCAGCTTTAATCCTTAGTCTGTTCTGACTATATATTTGTGTTTAAATGACAGAGCTAGAGCTGAGATGAATATTTACTTTTTTTTTTTTTTAAAGAAGCAGACTATTCTCCTGAACTGTACTTGTGTGTCATTTTTAACTTGCACAAAGGAAGTCTGTTCTTGGTGTTGCTCCTGAACCTGGGTTTTCTGTTGTTTTTGTATGTGGATTTTTTTTTCAAGCTTTTCTGCTCACAATGCTGCCAGGAAAATCACAGAAAGCTTAATGATACCCCAAAATGATTGTACCCGAGGGGGAAAATGAGGAGGTGTTAAAGGGCCAGAATCATATGGGAAAGCTCAGAAATGAATCTCTTTCTAGCCTGGAGGAGTGAATGACTCCTCATTAATTAAATTTTTAGCCCTGATGAATAACAGGCCCCATTACGCCCTATTTCCCTCTCCCATCGGGGCCCTGACTCTCCTGTCTGTGAAGATGGCACATGGCAAAAGGATATGACCCCACAGCCTGGGAAGTTGCCAGTCCAAGAGGAAAGAAGCATCAAAATGCCGTCGTAGTTTCCTAAATCCACAATGCGCGCAGTATACTGGAGCCCAGGGGAGATGGTAGGAAGTATTATCGGTCTGACATTGGCAATGAGTACAGACAAATTCACTTTCCTCTACCAAGGGCAAGGGCTGATGGCCTGCACTTCTGTTCCTTTACAAAATATGCTACCTCAAAGAGCTACCAATAAACCTTTCTAACTGTAAGTGCTCTTGCTAAGGGCATGTGGGTCTTAATCAAAGTTTAGTTGTTGTGGTTTGGGTTTTTTTTTTTTTTCTGTATATTGATGAATGAGATCTCACCTATTAAATATATTATTGGATCATGGTTCCTGAAGGTGATTAATGTTTGTATATATGTGTGTGTGGTGGTGGGGGTTATGACTTAAATATCTTACATGTGTGTTTTTAGAATTTGGTTCCTCACAGATTTGGAGAGGATATGTAAATCCCAAGGCTCTCAATTTTTATGATTCATATACTAATCATCAGGGCCTAAGTTAAATAAATAAAAATATGTGTGCATGTATTTTATATATAATGTGTGACTCTATTTTTTAATTCCAGATTCTACCTGTAAATAAATTATTCGCAGAAATGAGGAAGGGAAACTGTCCACTAAGTAGATTTTGTTAAAACTGAGCTTCAAAAAGGCAAGGGCTGTATTTTCCAATTCAGTGTTTCTCAGATTTGGCTGTAAATTTGAATCACCTGGGAAGCTTTAAAAACTATAGCTGCCTAATCTCCACCCTCAATGTCCTCCCTACAGATTGATTTAACTGGTTTAGAGTCTAGCCTGGGCATTGGCTTTTTTTTTTAGAAAGCTTCTGGGGTGATTCTAACATGTAGCCAGAGTTAGGAATCACTGTACTAATGTAATAGGCCTAGTGCTTAACTTCAGTTTATATTTTTGAAAAATAAAATGACATTTATCAATTATTTTTCATTTGAGACTGCTATATTACTTTCGGAACTCCCAGCCCTAAACAAACATTGCATTGTCTCCTTAAAAAAAAAAAATTTTATTGTAGTAAAATATATGTAACATAAAATTTGTCATTTTAACCATTTTTTAAGTGCCTGATTCTTTGACATTAGTCACATTCATGGACTTGTGTGATTGTCACCTCTATTTCTCTCCATCATCCTAAACAGAAATACTGTACTCCTTAAGCAGTAATGCCCCAGATGAACTTAGGTCTCTCTATTCATTTGCCTATTCTAGATATTTCATGAAAGTAGGATTATGTCCTTTTGGGTCTGATTTGTTTGACTCAGCATAATGTTTTCAGGTTCATTCATGTAGTATCAGAACTTCATTTCTCTTTATGGCTGATTTTAAAAATAAAAAATCCCACTGCTATCAAGTGGATTCAGACTCATAGTGACCCCCATTGGGTTTCTGGGGTGGTAAATCTTTGCTGAAGTAGATTGCCCAGTCTTGCTTCTGTGGAGTGGCTGGTGGGTTTGAACCACCAGCCTTCTGGTTAGCAGTCAGATGCCTTAGCAGTGTGCTACTAGAGCTCCTTTTATGGCTGATAGTCTCTGTTTAATAGAACTTCTGAATACAGTTTTTAGTTCTTAATCCTCAGAAGTTTTAACAGTCATATAGACTGCTATACACATTACAGGCGTTTGGGACCTAGCAATCTGCTCTATTTCTAGCAGGAAAATCTACTCACAGGTGATTTATACATTCCTAAGCATTTTCCATCAGGTGTGGCAGTTGGTTGAGGTTTAACAATGTGGTCGTCCACAAATCAGCCTGCTGATGAGAAACACAGGGGCTCTCATATATCGGCAGATTTGGGCTTTCAGTCCTTGCTGCGAGATTCCTGCCGCCACCTGAACCAGTACTGTATATTGTCTTAGAGGCTGGAAGAGAATGGCTGCAAGCAGATGAAAGACAGACGCACCGTCTCGTCAAGTATGGCTCCAAAGCAGCCACTAAGCTCATGTTTAGACGGAGGGGAATTTATATGTCCTCTATTCTCTAACTCCATCAGGGCAGGACACGTCCTCCTGCCATTGAGTGGACTATTTTCTTTTGAGGAAGGTTATAAATTAGGGGATGGGGGATAGATAGGGATTTGAATGCTTTAGACAAATAGGTTTTTATTCCTTAAGAGATGAGATGAGGTAATATTCAGATGAGTGCCGCTGAAAGGCATTTTAATAAGAGGGAAGGCACGCAGTTAACTTCAAATGTGGTTTGGTTTTGTTTTTCAGTTCCCAGTGGGTAAGTAAAGGGGCTCTGGTGGCGTAATGGATAAGGCATCTGGCTGCTAACCAGAAGTAACCAGAGAGTCAATAGTTCTAACCCACCAGCTGCTCCATGGAAGGAAGATGGGGCAATCTACTTCTGTAAAGATATACCACCTCAGAAACCCAATGGGGGTTGCTATAAGTTGGAATCAACTCCACAGCAGTGAGTTTGGTTTTTGGTTTTTTGGTGGGTAAGTACTTGGATTCCATAATGACAGTGAGTGTTGATTCCATGATACAGAGTTGGAGATGACCTTCCGGAATTCTTGTTAGCCTTTCAGGTAGTGATTAAACCAGGTTTAATAATGCGAGACATTCTCGAGAGGTGAAGACCTTTAATAGGTGTAATTGGGTGGCCTGTTTTTGTATAATTGTTGCTATACTTGGTAATAACCCAAACTGCTTATTGGGCTGGAGGTGTTGTATGTGCTGTCGAGTCAGACCCAACTCATAACGACTCCTCCTTAGGTTTCCAAGGTGGTATTACTAGGCCTTCTGATTAGCAGTAAAGTGCCTTAGGCACTATGCTACCAGAGCTCCACTGGGCTGGAGGTAGTTTTCAACAAATGGTCAGGCAAGAAAAAAACAAGGAAAGGCTTCCCCCTGTGTCCTTCTCTCCCCTCACAAGTAACAAAATTTTCTTCACATCTTGCAGGATCTTTTGAGTCATTTAAAAGGTAAGTAGTTTTTTATTCTTATTTATCTTCAGTGTGAGACAGAAACTGATGAAAGGATGCTTCTTGTGGCCCTGGTGGTAAGGGGAAGGACAAATACATTTTTATTTTTTATGTGTCATTTAGTGAATGACAGACAACTCTGAAGACTCTAAATGAGGAACTGTACCCCACAAGGTGTCCTAAAATATCAGCCATAGCAAGTTATGAAAGGAGCTCTGGTGGCACCAGAAGGTTGGCAGTTCAAGCACACCAGCCACTCCATGGAAGGAAGATTCTTAATGAGGAACTGGACCTCCCAAAGTGTCCAAAAATATCATCCATACCAAGTTGCAGAAATGTTTTATCTGAAAATACAACAAAGGGTGGACAAGAAAACAGTAGTTTTGTTTTTGTAATTTTCCTAAGAAAGAGACTGTCACTGGTTGATAGTTCTCCCCAAATGTATACATCAACTTAGCTAGGCCATGATTCTTAGTAGTGCATGGTTGTCCTCCATTTTGTGATGTGTCGTAAATCTTAACCTCTATTTGTTAATGAGGGAGAATCAGTGTGAGGTGTTTTGAGTTATAGCCTTAAGAGTTATGTTAAAGAGGATTAGGTTATGTTTATTATGTTAATGAGGCAGGGTTAGAGTGGGATACAACACCGTTACTCAGGTCACAGCCCTGATGAGATATAAGGGGAGGTACCCTGGGGTGTGGCCTGCATCACCTTTCATCTTACAAGAGATAAAAGGAGAGAGAAGCAAGCAGAGGAGAAAGTACCTCAGCACAACCAAGAAAAGAGTTGGCAACACAATCTGTCCTTTAGATCTAGGGTCCCTCGGCTGAGAACCTTCTAGATTGATACCAAGATACATGTAGATTGCCAAGGAACACCAGGCCTACAGATGCTAAAGAGAAGAACCTTTCTCCAGAGCCAACTCAGACAAAAAGCCTTCCCCAAGAGCTCGCACTGTGAATTTGGACTTTGTAGCCTCCTAAACTGATTCCTGTTTGTTGAAGCCATCTACTTGTGGTGTTTCTGTTATAGCAGCATTAGACAACTAAGAGACCAAGATTAGTCTGGATGTGAACATCCTCAGAAAAGCTTAGACTTTATGTTAATAGTTGGTTAATCAGGGGTTGGCTAACTGCCTTGTGGGCCAAATTCACCCACTCCACACGGCCTGTTTTTGTACCAATGTTGAGCTAAGAATGGTTTTCACATTTTAAAATACAACATGTTGGAAAAAGTCTAAAGAAAAGCAGTGTTTTGCGAACATGAAAATTACATGAAACTCAAATGCCAGTGGTCCATAAACAAGGTCTTCCTGGAACACAGCCAGGCTCATTCATTCATATATTGTCCATGGCTGCTTTCATGCTGCAGAAGCAGAGGTAAGTAAATGTCCTGCACAGTTGGAGATATTTACTATCATCCGTCCTTTTCTGTAGTAGTGTGTTGACCCTTGACTTTGGTGAAGTGTATATGGGTACTTGAAACTTCCAAAGGTTTGAGATTTTTAAAAATAGAAAGTAAGGGAAAAATCCTCTATTAGAATTACTTGAGGCATTTGATGAAAATGCAGAATCCCAAGCCCCAAGTCAGACCAGAAAACATCTCTAGGAGCTGGGCTGGGAATAAGTAATTTGTTTGTTTGTTTATTTTTGCTTAACTGGGTTTATTTTTCTCATATAACACGATATCCAGAGATAGAAAGGAGCAGGCTCTCAAGGATGTCAGTAGAGGGAGGTATTCTTTCATTGTTTCCGCTTCTGCTCTCCTTAGTGTTTAGCTTGTCACCTCATGGTCATTAGATGTTTGCTGCACCTTTAGACATTGCATCCTTTCTAGGCAAGAAGGGGAAGGGAACCAGTGCAAAAAGGGACATGTGAGTCCAGTCTGTCCTTTTGAAAAGCTTTCCTGGAATCTGAACCAGTTATGGTGCATTGATTAGTCTTGAAACATGTAGTTAGACCCGTGGGTCTGGGGGGAGCCATGGGTCCAGGATAGCCTGCATAGT